TATTATTATTATTTTTATTTTTAATAAAATGCTGAAGTGGTAGGTAGATGCAAGATAAAGGTAGAAAACATAGTTTAGTGCTGTAAGAGGGCAAATGTAGATGATCAGGTGTGTGCCTATAGACTAAGTATTAATCCAAGCTAGACAAGGGCAACAAAACATCCACGGATGCAGAAGATTTCTCTCAAAACAGGGGGGGTGAGGTTCTAAGCCTCACCTCTGTTGATCCCCAATTTCTCACCTGATGGCCCCCCTGCGACTGTGCCTGTCTTAGGTTGTTCCTCCCTTGAGGAATCTTACCCGTCTCTGGCTAACCAGTCATCTTCCGGGGCCATACAGGGAAATGTAAAGTTGGTAAGTGAGAGAGAAGCCATATTGTTTGCAAAGGTTAGCTTTTTACTTCTTTGCAGATTTATGCCCTGTGGCTTCTATGCCCAGCACTTGTCTCGAGGTATCTTTACCACCTGGAGGAATTATGATACTCGGTAAATTCGATATGAGGCACGAATTCTATTTAAGGGTTGTAATTAGGAAGGAAGAAGAAAAGCTATAGATGTAGCATATGAAGGAAACTTGGGAGGATTGATTATTTCTTTGACATATCTTCTTGTATAGTACCTTAAGTATGTATAGGTTTTAAACTACTAACTAATTTGCACACACATATTAACATAATAGGAATACGGTGACATAAACAAAGCAAATCTATAATTACCAGCCATCTCCAGTGAAGCCAAGAAAACCATTTAGGCACCCTAGGCATTTGTGAAAATTTATCTATGATATGATGGATATTGTCCAACTGTACTTGAACCATCAGACAAATTAAAGCAGCCCATTTCTGGGATCTGTTCACATCCCATATGTTCTTTTAACCATAGATAGTCTATAGTCATGAGATTTTGGAGTGCTACAACTTGCACCCCTCCCAACTCCTGGTTGAGTTCCAACAGTACAGATCCGGTCAAATTCGTTGTCTCACTGTATGCACATGCCAGCCTAGACATCTCCCTCCTCATTCTTATGGCAAGTCCAGGAGACGGTGGGCTGGATGCAGCCACAACCGCAGCATCGTCCGGATCCCTGTGGAGGCTTTTTGATGATCATCCCCCGGCACGAGTCCTCCAGAGAGTGCTGATGCCGGAAGCTCCTCCTCATATCGTATCTTAGTTCATTTTCTGGGTATCCAAGCTAGGCCTTGATTTTCTGCATAGAAACAAACAGACCCTTTGCCCACACTTTGACACATGACATTGATATTTTTGAAGATTTTTTAAGAGTACAAGCCAGTGTTTGTGTTGACTCTCCATTACATTGTATTTTTACATCAAGTGTTGCTAATAAGAATTTGAAGGTAGAAGGACTGAAAAGAGTTTATTTAACTCAGCATAACCCATCTTTACTCTTGAAAAGTCAGGGAGATAATCTACTTCTGGAATATCTAGTACCCAAACTCCTAAAGGCCTGTTCAAAGTCAGAATCTCGGGAGATGGCATTTAACAGCTCCTCTCTGGGAATCTAATGCTTTCAAATGAGCTAGAAAAGAGATTTCTATGTGTTGGTGCTATCCAAACCAACCTCCCCACAATTCCCATGTTACAGATCTAATTTCTGAGAGGTTGTACACTGACTTTTTTCAACCACACTTACAGCTCTCAACAGCAACTATTGAAAAAATCATATTGAAACATCATATTGAAAAAAACCAATGGCCACAGGTGTCTCAAGCTATCACTGTAGCTGTGGTAGGATCAAAAGAGATTAAGAGTTCAATGACTTCATTTTATGAAGTAGAGGCCTTGGGAGATGAAGAGCTGGTGAAGGCCACATAACTCTTTAGTACCATAGCCACATCTTGAATCAATATTCTAATTTATTATTTAAAACTTGAAATGATCCAGCAATCCTAAGGAAACCACTGTTCAGCAGGAGCAAGAATACAGTGGTCCCATTAATTAATACTGGAAAACAGGGGTGGAGGTGGATATAGTTCATGTCTTCAGGACTAAGATGCTGTGAATTTGCCAGCCTGATTAAAAACACCAGGTGGGTGATATGCATGAAGTATCATTGGATGGGGCTCTATGTGGTCAAAACAGAGAGACTGCAATTCATTATTCTAAGAGCATCTTAACTATCAGCACATTGAATTAAGGGGCCAGTAGCAAAGAGGTCCTTCCCAAGTTAACAGCCACAAATGTGAAGGGTCAGGGGTCTTTAATTCAGAGGAAAGACTCTAGTCATATAAATGTAGAGATTTATTGTTCACCCAGTGATGAGCGCTGTGAGATCCAGGGTCAACATCCTTCACTACATCTGCTTTTGATAAGCTCTGTAAGAGTTAGTTATTTATGTCAAGAGTTCTTAGCTCCAAGCAAAATGGGGGTGGGGGATGGAGAGACAGTGAACAGAGTTGAGGAAAGGCACACAGCTCCCAGGGTTCAAAAGGCTAATAATCAAATACAGGGCTCCATCAATATCTGCTCAAGGGTTTTCCTGATTACACATTTACCAGCATAATGTATGGACTGAAAATAATGATGGGTTTTAATGTCTGTGAAATAGTCTGGGTATTAAAATAAAGCAGAACATTAATTTGTAATTGTAAAAAATAGTTTTTGTTTCAACAAAAAACTGCTCCATCTGTAACTTGTTTCTGGGTTATCAGGTTCTAGACCTGTACATTGTCTTTGACCTATTTTGCAACCCTTTGTAAATTGCTGGTAACTGATAGATACATAAATTCTGTTCTGCTCTTGATAATTGTTCATTTACAATTCATCTTGACATTCCTTTACTCCATATAAATTAGTGCTTTTTTGACTTTTCCTCTGGATTGGTTAAAATACCTGTCTGGTTTCCTCGCATGAGTCAAAATCTTTAACGTGTTCATCTTTATGTCTATACAAGAGTAATGATTTTACCTTTTTCTGAATATTATCTTGTAACACAAAGTCCTTCTGTAGCCTGATTGCTTGTGAAAAAGTTCAACCACCCTGGGCTTCATGTCTTTCTGAGATTTGGTTACATAGATCAGCTCTTTGGATACTTCATCACTAGCACTTACAAACATTGATATTTTAAAACAAAACACAGCTGAAGCCTTTTATTTTTTTTATGTTATTTTCTGCACTGTTAGGGTAATTAATTTGAAATCACAGGACTGTATGTCTAAGGTACTTACCTGCCTATCAATTTTGCATCAAGGAGCTGAGAGAATTTGGTGGGGAGAAGGGCAGGGGCCAGCAGTGGGAAAGAGAATGTCAGGTGTAAGTACTGGGAAAGGAAATCCCAGGGCAAAATACCTCTAAAAACCGAAATCAGTCAAAAGGAGAAATAAAGTTTAAAACCAGTTTATTGCTTACAAACTGCATTCCAGGGCATTCTCTGTTTCCTGCTACAGCAGAAGCAAAATCAGCCCTCCCCTCACCTCTCAGGTACAGATAAGTCCAGGTAATTACCCACTGGTATGGAGATGAACTTCTCTCCATCCCTGAGGAATGATGCAAATGCACTAAAGCCATACTTCTTTCCACCTCTGAGTGCCTATTGATATGCAGATGTACTAAAGCCAGGTGAGATATTCTGGAAATATTTTACCCACACAGGAAACAGAAACCAGAGAGGTGGTTTTTTATGTGCTTCACTCCTGTGCTAGCATTTCAGAACAGGAAGGGTACCTGGTCCCATGTAATGGTAAACGCAGACCTGGAACCCATGCCTCCTGAGTCACAGGTGGCCCTGCTCTTAAGAAAAAAAGGAGAGGAGAGGCAGAAGCTTTTATTCTTAGAGGCCCCTCTGCCCCTAATCAGACCCACAAAGTGTACAGGGCAATGACTGTATTTCTGATGCTCCAATCTGAAGACAGAGATGAATTCAGCAGGTCCCCTTCCACCACCCACCATATGCATTACCTTGAGCAGCAGGCAGAGAGGGAGGGGTCACAGCTTCTGAGAAGGGCCTGGATGATCCCATTATCCCTGCCTGTTTTCCTCTGGAGCTGGAGGGAATGTGGTATTGAGTGACTCACAGACATTCTCAGTTTCTCCTCTATAAGAGGAAGAGACTGCAGGTGATCTGGAAGGCTTGTTTTTGTTCTGACCCGGCAGGAAGCCGAGATGAAGCCTTTGGTTTGTTGATCTGGGAAGCAACCTGCTGTTCATCATGGCTTCCTTTAGAATGGCCTGGCTTCAGTTTGGTCACCTACTAAGGACAAGGTGGCACTTCTCAGTTTGACAGATTTATATGCAAGGATTTCTTGGCCCCAAGGTAGAGGCTGCCTGGGACATTCTTTGGGATTCCTGCCCATTTTGGATGGATTGTCAGTTCTAGGTCATTTGATTATATTTCTGTGTTGATTAAAGTCTTCTTGGGATGTTAAACATCGATGAAATTTTGGTCTTCCCAGGAACATATTCAAAGCTTAAATATGTCTATTTTTAAATTGCTGAAACTCATTTCTTCCCTAAATGCTTTTAAAGCTAATAAAGTAAAGTATGTTGATTAATCATGGGTCTTTAGAAGTACGAATGGGGAAAGTTAACTTCACACTCAATTTCTTATTGGTTTTGTTGCAAATAGAATTCAAGCAAAATAAAACATTAATCTCCCTTATATAAAATGTCCCTACTCCAACCAATTGACAAAATGAAAATTAAGACTTAGTAATTCTGTGGGCATCTGTTACCTTTCAAATTTTGAAGCAACTGTGGCAGCTGTTTTCATTTTTTAGATGAAGCTCCAAGGGGTTAAGTGATTTAGTCAGTCTCACATCTGTTAATGAAAGAGTCAGAACTAAAACCCACTCTCCTGACCCCTCATCTTTCCCTTTTTATATGGCCCCATCTTACTTTCATTAGTTAGGAATGAAGTCTCCCTTTAATCATGAAACTCTCTTTGCCTTCTGAAAGATATTAAAATAAAAGTATATAATTGCAAAAAAAGACAACCCCAAACAACCAAACCAAAAGCAAAACAACAACCAAGATGTAGATGATTTTTGATTTATTACCTAGTCTTACTTCCATTTTAGAAAAGAGAAACAAAATATAGAATTCATATTTACATTTTTTTTTTTACAATGGAAAGTATTTACATTGTAGATACAAAGTACAAAATGGCATATAAAACTAGGACGACGCAGACACGAAGGGCCACAATTTCAGCAGGAAATTTTCTGGCTACTTTTCCCCTTACATGTGGAAGTGCATTAGGCTAACTATTGCCAAACCATTTTTTAAATTTAGCCAGTTGCTGTTTCATCTTTGTAGGGTGATGGCCTCTTCTCAGGAGCCTTTGTTGAGTGTAATTAGTAACTGATCTTCCCACATTGGGTTCTTGGGTCCTCCTTCGATCCTTAGGATGCCTAATCCATCACTGTGGCTTAGGCCACTGGCCCCGGTGGGTTTGCAGGCCCTTCTACTTAAGAAACAGCTAGAATTCTTCCCATCCGGGAATAGCAAAGCTGCATTTCAAGGAAAGGCTGATTTGTTCAGCTATGTCTTACGTAAAGTATCCAACTTGCAAAGAGTGTCCAGCCTCGCACATTTTAAGGCCAAGAACCAGAATGGGCTGCCGTTTAGTGTGCTGGCAACAGAACTAGGACTAGAACTGGGGTCTTCTGACCCCTGTGCAGAGCCCTTGCCCTGGTGATACACTGGTGGGATAGAGTTGTTCATAATTCTAGGTTTGCAGTCTTCCTAGATGTGTTGAAGTGGTAGGCAAGACATTTCAAACCAATGAGGTATGGGTCAGCTGGGGGTCTGTCCTCTACTTCAAAAACTCTTGAGAAGCCACTTATGAAGCCATCTAGTCATAGGTCCTTAGGCAAACCCGGACTACTTGGGATATTCTCCCTGTGGTTCACTTTTAGCCTGTAAGTTGTTGAAATGGAGCAAAGACCCCACCATCAAGGAAAAACACTGCTTTGACCTGATATGTTCAGGCATTGGCAAACTGAATCATAGGAATTAAAAATCAGAGTCAGAAATGGGACAGATAGAATAATTCATCAGAGAAACAAGCTTTGTAGAGACAGCCCCGATAATGGGAAGTAAACTATATATAGGTAGTAAAAAGACCCATCTTTTAATTTCACTATTAACAGAGAACTTACTCACTGAGGAAGCAAAGTGCTTTCCTATTCTACTTATCCAAATTAGTAACATACTTCCAAATTATCAAAACAGTTTGGTTGGAAAAATAAGTTGAGTACACCAGAAAAAATATCCAAAGTTAAGAATAAGAATACTAGTGATAATGATCACAATAAAAAAGAGACAGTGCTTAAAATGCCAAGATATATCAAAAGATATTTACTATATGAAGTTAACAATAGCACAACATGTATAAAATGGATGTGTAGGATTTAAACATTTCCAAAATTATCTGAAGTCTGAGAGAAACAAGAGAATCCCTGTTCCATTATTAAGCTCATGGAAATCAAACTGTGCATTTAACCAGTGTATGCCAAATGTACCAAATAACAAGAAAAAAAGCTTAAATGAAAGTGTAAATGTAACAAATGCATAAAACCCAAATTTTTCAGCAAACAGGTCAGCCTGGGGTTGCTGTGGAAATTTGCAACATCCAGTTGGGCAGAAAGGAAGTGTTGGAAATGAGGGAATCAGACACCTTACCCTTAGTAGTATTTTCCTGGTAAAAATGGCATTTTTAATGAATCACTGAAGTATAATATAAGATTCTATAATCTGTTTTACAGAGGAAGCTCTCAATCTCATTGAGTAATTAAAATCCTTTGGAGCCCTTTTTCAGATCATAAATGGGACAGCCCTGGTTCCCGGTGGGGTCTGGCATGACAGATGGGCTGCTGGAGAGAAACTGGGCTCTGAGGCTCAGGGACTCTCCCAGAAGTTGGCCTTCAGGCCAGCAGTGAGAGGCTAAAGTTGAGGCTGAGGTACTGGGAAGCCCACAAAGGCCATGATGCTGTTGGGTTGCTGCCAGCCAGGGGAGTGCCTTTCTGAGGCTGGCGGAAGAAGCCCATGGGGCCCCAGGCTCCAGGTGCCCCACACAGGCTTCTTCCACCATGGCCTTCAGCCTGGTGTGGATGTGCTGGGAGCTGTGAGCACTGGCGGTCAGAACCACACTCACTTTGAAGGTCCCGATGTGGGAGCTCAGTGAGGGACGTTCTTACTAGTGGCTTTTTCAGGAAAGGGAACTTTAACTGGAGAAACCAGACTTCCTTCAGGGCCCCCATCTCAAGTGGGGACCTCCTTGGTTTATGACTAGGTTAGTACCTGGACAGGGAGACTGGAAGCCGTGCCCCAGTGTAGAACCAGTGAATTCCTCTGTGTTGGTGTGCAGGTGCTGGCATATTTCTTGGCCACTTGGTAGCGTGGAATGTTGCTCAGTTCTGCCCCTCTCCCTGCTGAATTAGGGCTCATCTGACCCAAGTTTTCACATGGTCCACTCACAGTTACAGTCCTAGAGACATCACTTCTCCTGCATGAACCTGCCGTAACACCTTCCAGGGGCACAGACAGTGCAGGTGTCAATTACCTCTCAAACACAGTTGTTATAAACCCTTTTGGCCATATGACAGCAACAAAGCCACTTAGCAATTTCCATGCTTATGCTGACTGTCCTAGAGTGCACACACTGAACTCTACTGGCCCTGGGGACAGGGCCTCTGCAGACCCCTGCTTTGTCATGGGAAATACTGAGAACCTTTTGAGACAGGGACCATGAATTTAGACAGAGTAGGGTGAGGGCCTCTGGATGAAGCAAAGCAGGATTAATTACGGTCCGAAGAAAGTAAGAATGTGCAAAGAAAGTCTTACCAAAACTCTGTGTTAAAAATTAAGCAAAGTTAGACTCACACAAATTATTTAGGATAAAAATACCAAATTTGGAATTTAGGCAATCTTCAGTGGAATTGGTAAAAACAAAAAACAGCATTCAGGCTGTGACCAATAAAAACTGAACACCTCAGTTAAACCTAAGGTTTAAACCCTGAGACGAAGCCCAACCACGGGCTCTCTTGTCCCCTCCTGGCATGGGCCAGGAACTCTGTCCTCTTGCTTTATCTCTAAATAAAAGCCTCTCCCTTGCTTGCCTCCCTTGAGTGTTTGCAAAGTTCATTCTTCGACTGCGTGAACAAGAACCCTGGCCTCACTTTCGTGGGGCGCTTGGATGGCCACGGTACTGGCTTGCTTATTTTTGGCTAAACTATAATCCAGAGTTCATTTTTAAGAAAAAGATTAGCTCTTCTGTTTTCTGCCACAAATGCCTGGCACTGGGTTTCTCTGAATGTCTCATTGAGTATTAGAGACCTTATCCTAGATTCCAGCAGTCCATGAAAGGAAGGAAACCAAGTGAGTTCCCAAAGGAAAAGGAAAGAACTGCACAGGGAACTTGAGCCCCTGCTGTTCACTGCAGGTTGGCATCTGGGTTTGGTGGGAAGGGGATATTTGCCATTCGGGCCTGAGCCAGAGCACCTCTTTAAATTAGAAAAAGCAGATACCTGTGTGGTTAAAAACCTAACCAAATGAAACAACTCCCTGACAGGCATAAGGAAAAATGCATTTGACCTGTTGAAATGATCAAGAAAGCTACTGAATTACAGATTCACAATATTCCATCTAGCCTCACCCTTTCATTTCAGGGAGGGGGGAATGGAAATTTTGCTCTGTAGCCTGCTGCCTTCCTCTGGAGATGGAGCAGGTCACAGCCCTGTATCAAGAAGTTTGCTGTGATATGTTGAACTTAAAACCAATAGGAAACCCTAGAGACTTTGCTTATGACCCTGAAACCAAAAAAACAAAGAAAACAAGGGTTATTTCACCAGTAACTCTTAATAACAATGTTTTATCAGACTTTCAATGGAAACCAAAAATACAATATGATACAATAAAATAGAGTATTTCTGTTCTTATGGGGAACATAACAAGATAAACAATGCATCTGTCAAAGACTCTATTTAAATGAAAGGCACCAGAAGTGTTTGGTAGGAAAACAAAACTGTCACATGAATTGACAAGATAGCAGAACTTTCTCCCCAGGGGGATCGTTTTGTGGATGTGAGCTAGGACGATGCTCAGTGGGCTGAACAGGGAGAAGTGTTGGGAGCTCTGAGGGGACAGAGGATGAGAATGGAGACAGAGATGGGGCCTGGGGTGAGAGAGGGGGCCATGTGGTCTGAGGCTGAGAAGTGAATGGACAGAGAACTGAAAAACAAAGAAATCAGGCCAAGAGTGGATGCAAGAAAAGGAGGTGACAAATCCTCTGGGGGTTTCAGAAGGAAAAGGGGCAGAGCTAGGAAAAGCCTCCACCAGGAGGGCTGGGGGGCTTTGGGGACCATCTGGGGAAGTGCCAAAAGCAGCCAGCAGGTAGAATCCTCCCGGCTCTCACCATCTGCTTGGTATGGTAGAAGCAGGCCCAGGGGCCGGGGTGGAGGGTGACGGGACCCCAGGGAGGCCAGGGACTGCCCTGTAGCTCAGGAGGGTCCTGCGTGGTGAAACAAGACCTCTGCTTGGTAAAAGGCACTAGGGCATGAAAGGGGTTCCTGCAGGGGTCAGGATGGGTCAGCCCTGGTTGTTGGGGACCCCTGGAATGGAGAGGGGGGATGCCTCAGGAGGGGCTGAGCACCATGTTGCCTTCACAGGAGGCACTTTTGACCCAAAGGAGAGCTCAGAGGAAATAACTTTTTAAAAGTCATAGGAAAAATACAGAGATTAATAAAAAGAAGATATCTTGCACATCAGAAAAACTGAAGCCATTAGCAAACTCTATGTAGGTAAATGTTTTCTTCTTCCTTATAAAAGACCCACTGCCTGCAGTGTGGACAGGACCTTACCAAAAAATTTAAGAGAAAAAAACTAATCCTTTTATCATCTAGCAGTTACCCCTGAAAACTTCTTCCTGCTGCCTAATCTATACAATCAGTCAAAGAAGCTGTTGACCTTCATTCTGCAATTCTGAAAATTAGGTTCTGACTTACTTAAAAAAATACATTAAACCCTCAATTAACTGCACTGAAGTTTCCTGCAAGACACAATGCAATCGAACTTTTTCTGCTGAAATACTGAGGTAATGATTGTGAAACTTAAGACGAGAGATTGACCACTAGGGCATGGATGGCGGGGCAGGAGGAGGGCAGGAGGCGGCTGGGGAGACAGACGCAGGCCCAGCATCAGTGAACATGGTGGAGTCAACCAAAGGGGAAATCCTCATTCAACCAGGACTAGGGATAACTGGAATTTTAAAGAAAGATTTTTTAAAAATTGGTTATTTTCCTCTTTTAGGGAAAAGAAAAAAAACCCTATGAACACTTATGGTATTTAGTTTTAAAAAGCCCCTCCTCAGGGGGAAGTCCACCACCATCTTTTTCCCCACTCCCGCTGGCCACCACTTCTACCTCTCCAGTATTCAGCGTCCACAACATTTGTCAACCAGGCCCTCTGTGTCAACACAAAGCGGCCTGCTTTGAGCCTAATTTCACCAGAAATTTTCATGAACCATTTCTCAAATGACTCTAGTTAATTGAGGTTTGACTAGGAAAAGCAAGGTTTCTTTTGAACAGTGAACACTAACCATCACGTTGCCTAACCTTTATATAGCTCTCTGTATTCCAAGTCCTTTCACAGAGGTAGTCCTCGCATCGCCGCGAGGCAGGCAGAACCTGCCCCAGGTTACAGATGAAGGAAAGAGTCCAGGAGCACGGGAGCCACTTGCCGCAGGTCGCCCAGCTGGCAGGCTGACCTGCCTCCCAGGCCAGAGCGCTGTCCCGCTCACTGGCTGGGGGAAGTCCAGGCACATTTATTTTGGTGGACATTTGCAATAAAATACTTTGTCTTTGGAATGAGTAGAGTGCAAGAAAAACGTCTCTTAGCAGGTGGTTTCACTGCATTTCTTAGAGTGAAGAGAGCCCAGGGACAGAGAATTTCCTCTCTTAAAAGGTGGCCGTGATGGATCTGTCTTCCTCGACTGTTGTTGGTTCAGCCGGCGGTTTGCTGGCAGCTGATAAGACCTTTTGACTATATAGGAAAGTCCAGGATCCTGTGAATTATCAAAAGTCCTCAAACCCCTTCACTGTGTATCATATACAGGGATGCTTTTAATTTCTCCTATGCCCCGGCGATGGCGGGAGTGTTGGGTGGCTGGATTTTACTTGGCTGTAAAAGCCTGATGGTACTCACTGAGCCCCATGTCATGTCTGGATCAGCATTTGGGTCCATGAATTTTGCCACATCCAGTTATGGACATGCATCTTTGACCCCAAGGGGCCGAGGTGGACCCATGCCATTTGTCTGCAGCCCTGGATGTGCCATGCCTACTGGGGTAAAGAGGCCACTGTTCCAACTTACAGTAAGCATCCGAAGTGGGAAGAAATGGAGTTATCAGTGAAGGTTGGGATGGTGGGCAACAGTTTTGTCGGCCAGACACTATGAATGGGGAAAACAGTAAACTTGCTGTAACTCATTTACTTTAACCTGCAGAGCTGAGAAAAAATGTTATAGATTTAAGTCAGAATGTGTGCCCTGGTGATCCATCTCTCCATCTTGGAATTGTCTTGGGGAGGAATTTTGCTGAAATGTCAGTTTATTCAAGACCTTGCTGTCCTTTGAATACCACCACCCGTTGTTTCTGCCTCCCTCAGGCCTGCCCTCTCATCTGATGCAGGTGAGTAGAGCTGGGAACCGGGGGTGGTACCTTTGTTCGCCACACAGTGTCCACCTGGTCCTGACACCATAGGCCCTCTCTACATGGTTGCAGCTCTAAGGATCAGGAAGTGTTGAGGACTCGCCAGAAACTGCCCTGGAAGACTGGGGATGACTTGTATATTGGATCATAATTAGTGTGACCCCACATCCTGGTTTGCTAGGTCGACATCTGTCATCATGGCATCACTAATAACAGTCATTCACGTGCAGAGGAACGTGCACTGAACAAGAGAATATGGCCACCCTATCTGTGGAAGGAACAGCAGCAAGGTGGTCGGTGTATGGTGACCGCAGGGGTGGGAGGAGTGCATGGGTAATTTCCAGGCACTGGGCCTTTAACAATTTTGCTAGAGGAAGAGGGCTTATTCCAGATCCTTTTGAAAATATGTAGACTGCTGCCTCTCTTGGCTGTCAGCTCAAGACTGGCTGGAGCTTCTCAGGACACCAGACTAGATGCGTGAGGCCCTTGGCTCTGAGGGCCGGCCCAGGGGTCCGACCTAATCACCCAGTCTTGCCTGTGGGCCTCTCTCCTCTACTGTGTTTTTGTTCCATCCTCTTGAAGACAAATGCTCTCTGCTTTTCCAGCTTGGTACACTTATCAGCTTATAACATTTTAAGAACCCAGGACGTAAAAGGGTTAACAGTGACAGCACCAAAGAAATGAAGGGAAATCTGTTGAGAAGGAGCTGGGAAAGATGACATGTCTCTGGCCACAGCCTCCAGGGAGGCTTTCCAAGTTCAGAGCATGACAATGCTGGCAGCCCCTTCTGCAGAGAGGTTGCTCAAAGAACTGCAAGGGCCCTTGAGAGTGCAGAGCAGCAGAGGGCCCTAGCTGCGGGCGCAGCAGGAATCCGCAGAGAGCTGAAAGAGGCAGGTGTGGTGGCTTTGCCCTTCTAGCTGGGCTCTGACCCTTGGGGAGGGCAGATGGCCCATGCTGTCCTCTGGTTGCCCTCTGATCAGCCCCTGGGAAGGATTCGGCTGTGACCCTCTGTCCAGGGGTAGCTCCATCTTCTCCCTCCTCCAGGGCAAAGATGCTTTCCCCAAGGCTCTGGGCTGGCTGGCTTCACTTCTTGGCAACTAACCATGGACTCTGGCCCTTGAGGAGGCATAGAGAAGGGGATGTTTGAGAAGGAGGCTTGCTGGTAATTAGCATATTGGGCACCTCCCTGGGCCTGGATTGGCAGACTCCCAGCAGCCTCCAAGTTTGGACCTGCCCTCTCTAGCCCCTTTCTTCTGCTGCAGTCCCACTTGCCTTCTGGTGATTTCAGAAGCCTGCGTGTCCCCAAATCATGCTCACCTGAAGATTCTATCAAGGAAAGGACGAGGAGACAAGGGAGAGGATTGCCTGTCTGCTGTGGCCAGCTCCTCCTTTTCTGCTTTGCAATCCCTTCCAGGCCAAACGGGCCCTCCCTTCACTCTGGCCACACTGGCCCCCACAGTGTCCTCTGCCAGTGCCCTCATTAGCACTTAGAACATATGTCCTTGTATTGCTGGGCATCCCTGTTAAGTACTGGAGGGCAGGCTGTATGTAACAGTCCGTAGCAGCCCCACCCCTCCCTTCCCACTTCCTGCACATAGTAGGGGCTTGCTAAATAAAGTAGGTTGAGAACTCAGCAGGTCAGGGATGTTTATGAGCTGTGACCACGGATGGGGGTGCTGAGCTAGGCCCCTCAGGAGCCTCGTTAATTAGAAAGTCCTGCCCTTCTAAGAGCTCACTGTTTCATATGGAAGACTGACTTTTGCTACTCTAATAGAAGATGGAGGAAGAAAAGAACACAGACTCGTCCAACTGAGGAACTCAGAAAAGTCTTCCCAGGGCCATTGCAAACTGAGCTGGGCCTTGAATGGAGGGTAGAATTTTGACAGATGAGAAAGAATGGCATTCCAGGCAAAGGGCCCAGCCCAGGTAAAGGTGTGAAGTGGGGAGCAGAGGGTGTGTGTGTGGAGCCAGTGGGTAGACCCTGGAAAGGAGGGAACCCTGGTGGGACGGCCCATGGCACTGAGGCTTTGTTCCTCGCTCAGCTCTTCCACTGTCTACATGCTTCTTAGATGTTGGCTGTTACTTGGCAGGGCTTTTCTAGGAAACAGAGGGTCACTTTGCATGGAATTCTGCTTTAACATATGAAATACATGTAAACTCATAGGAGATCCTCCCCCTCCCTGCCCCCCAGTGAGGAGGTGCTGCTTGAACTCCAGCCTTGAAAGTTTGGCTCCTTGAAGGACGGGGCTGAGGTCCCTCCCTGAGCCTCCTCCTCCGCTCACCATCTTGGGGGCGCCGGCTCCTCCCTGCTTCACTCACCAGCACCTTCTCTCTGTCGGTGGTGTGGAGTCCTAGGTGCTTGATGTCTCTCATGCCCTGAAACCATATCCAGGGCAGGGCCAGGTGCAGTAGGGCTGCAGAGTGTGTGGGTGGTGCACGAGAGGGGCGCGGACAGCTTCCCGTGCAGCACAGTGTCCTTGCACATTTGTGGGGCCCTGGGAAGCCCCACCGGGTGCCAGGTATTAAAGTTGGCCTGCAGGTATTGCCTAGTCTCTGATGACTGCAGCAGTGTAGATGTGGATCTGAGAAACAACCTCTGCGTGCCCTGGCAGAGCCAACCCCGCTCACCTACTCCCGCCTGGCCGGGTCCACTTGGGTCTCGTTATTCAGGGTTGTAAAGCACACACATGCCACACACAGTTCTGCAGTGCCAACTCCATGCATAGCACCCTCACAGCCCAGCAGCTCTAGGCGCACACTGGACGCCCCAGCGTCTCCACCCTCCCTTGAACTGACCCGCGGCCCTGGGTGCTCCCTGGATGACCAGTCCATGGGGTCAGAGGAGTTCTGGGTGTCATAGGCCACCCAAGTCAACCTCCTCATGTGCCAGTTGGGGAAACTGAGACCTGGAGTTGCCCCATGCCAGATAGTTAACAGTGGAGAAAGGACTGGAAGTGGAGCCTCCTGACTTGCTGGCCAATGCCTTCCCCTTTCATGGGCTAGCTTTAACTGTGCCCGTGTCTGTGGCCGGGTGAAGTCAGGGGAGGGAGGCTGAAGCACAGCGTGAGGACAGGGCGGTACAGACGTGTGGAAGAGGCCATCTCTGCCTTAGCAGGCGGGGTCTCCTTCTGCCTACATGAGTACAGAGGCACAAGTTGCCCACCTTGGTGACAGTGTTACTCCAGCCTGCACCACCGTTACGCAGCCACCCACTGGGGCACTGGCTCAGTCTTTTGTCAAGCTGGGTGTCTGCAAGTCTCCAGGTAGACAATGCCAGGCAACAATGGATTCCATGCCGGAGCACAGGGCTGGACGCAGAAGGCGGCCAGCAGCTGTCAAGACCCAGCGCCTTGCAGTTCACAGAGGACATCTGCCAACAGGACTGCAGTTTCTCCTGAAGGACAGGCCTGGGGGCATCGCTCATTCCCCGAGGAGGCAGTTCTCAACAGAAAGGCCTTTAGGTTCTCAGGAACAGAGTGAGTATCTTTAACCTCCGTGAACCCTCCTGGCCTCTGGCCACTGCCCTTCTCTGGCCCAACGCCCCACCCCCCACCCCATTCCTGCACCTCTCCTTCTAGCACCTGACTATTCTTGTTCTCCTGGCCTGCTACCATTAGTATGGATCTCCAGCCACTCTGCAAACTTCCTGACCATTGGTTTCTCTACTTCTGATCTCCCTGCACCGCATTTGACACAGCTGAGTTAAGGTCCCAGTGGAAGGGCTGAAGATAGGGATGTGGGGCCAGGAATTCTCATCTGGCTATCACTTGTATGAAAATAGCTTCATGAACTTCAAACTTAAGGAAACTGAAGAGATCAGGAAGCTTTTGAGCCAAAGGCCTTGGAAGGAAGTGGCGTCTTTGCTCCCCTTTCAGTAAGTTGAAAGTTGGGAGCACCCAGGCGTACACCCTGCCGAGGATGCAGGGGCACCAGACTTGGGGTGACAAAGAGCTTGTGCACACAGGGCCAAACCTCCATGAACTGCCACCCCCGGGGAGGGGAGGGTGTCACTGGAACCAGGCCCATCGTTTCTTTTTCTAACCACCACGCAGCTTGAGGAAAACATGTGGAGGACCTGCCCCTGCCTATCCAGGGCTCTCCTGACACCTCCTCTGTACTTATTCTTCCTGACTCTTTTAAACTTTTCTTTATTCATATTTCTATTTTATCATTTATGTTCTTGCAAGGGACTTTGAGTCTTTTGTGATGTAGTAAGTAAATGAATAACACCAGGATGGAGACAAAGTAAAAGAGGTTTGTTTCTATTTGCCCAAAGTTATCCACGGTATTCAGCTAACACAGCTCCTCAGTTTCTGGAGCTTTCCAGTTAATGTTTGACTCTACTCTGAGATCAGGAGGGGCTTCTGGCTGCTCCACCAAGGGCTCCGACAGGGGAGCGAGGCAGGGGGACTGAAGAATAGTCACACCCTGATTCCTCAGGACCCTGGTCCAGGGCCCGGGGGCTGGGGCATGGGAAGAGCAGAAGAAAAAGGGTGAAGAGAGTGGCATCGGGGTGGCACCCATCAGCAGTCAGGTGCAAACAAGCCTCCAGTGGCAGAGGTTGTGGGAGGGCTGTATTTGTGGGCTCTTTCCTCCAAAAACATATGAGCAATCAGGTGACTGTCCTACTAGAAAGATGACTGTAACTCTGGCTAGATTCATTATTATATATATTCACTTCTTTCTTCTGAATTCAAAAGAAAGGAAAATTAAAATATTTTCTTAGTCTCTGAAAGTACATGGGTCACGGTGCTTGATGGAGAAGTTGGCCCTGGATGGGGTCACGGGAAGCTGGCTCAGGATGAGAACCATTTCTGGGTTCCGTATTGTTTGGAAAGTGCTGTATTCTGGAACTCTCCCTCAGTAGAAAAAGCTGGTGGCTTGGTCTTGAGTGGCTCATGCTTCTGCCACATGGGGAGGGGAGAGATGAGCTCCATTAATTAGATGACCAGAGAGATCGGTTCTAGGTTAGCTGCTTCACTTTTAAAATGAGGCAGCTAAGACTCAGAGGAGAAAGTTGTTTGGTTTCTAAACTAGTGGAGGGGACAAGTAGAGTAAGAATGATGGCTCTCCATCCTGGACAGCATGTGGTTCCATAAACACAGTGTGGCAGGGCTCTCGTGGATGTGAAGCCCACTGATTTAGAGTTTGTGTGATGGTGTGGACAGAGTCTGAGTTGGTCATTGTACCGTCAATGAGGGGAGGATATATTAACAAAAATTAAAATGTAAATAAAATGGGGGTGTGTGTATAAACTACCCAAGGACTTTGTTATTTTCAAGCCCTTTAGAAGCACCAATTTATGTTGTAAAACATGTAACCATAAACCGGTATGCTACACCAGACATAATACCTACCTAGTTTGGAAAGTAGGTTTCTTGAGATTTTTACTAAGCAGTGCACTGTGAATAGAGCTCTACACAACTCTGTTTATTAAAAACTAAACACAACTTCAGGGTGCAGGTCTGGCCCAGATTGGTGTTTTCTGAGTGTTCCTTGCTAGAGTGGAATGGCAATGAGGCAAACTTGTCGCCTTCTAGTTGTGAGTGGACCTTGCAGATCTTTATCAGCAATAGCTATTATTAGTGGCTGCAGCTCAAAAGGAAAAACACCTCAAAAACCACAACCACCACCACCAAAAAAAAAAAAAAAAAAAGCAGTAGCAAATAGCCAGCCTTTTGTAACCCTGGGAGCCCTTGGGGGGCGGTTCAGCAAAACTGAACCTTAAATGTTCAAATGACACTGCAATAAACCTGGGATATTTACAACAGACTGCTTAATAGAGTCCTTCCTCCCTCTGTTGGGCTTAACATTTCAAACCATTACACTGTACTTGTGAGGACCCCTGTTTCTTCTGAGACTTCCTGCTTTCACAAGAAAGAATGTATTTAATATAACGATTCATCAGGATCATGAACTGCCATGTTTCATTTTTTAAATAATGAAAATCCGTAAGAGTTTAAAATGGTCTTAGATACACCTAGCTTGGCAAACACCACGGATCTCCATGTTTCTGTGAATTCACACATAAGCTAGCCAGCACCTCAGTACTGGTTGGACCCCTTTGGCACCAGACACAATAATTTATTAAGCTTCAATACTTAATAAATGTGCACAAATATCATGCAAACGTATGACCATACTCACAAACAAAAAGTGTATTAGAGTTGTAGACTTACACAAAACATCTTGTAAACAAAAGGGAAGAGGTTGGTATTTTCTGTACAAAATATGCAGATTTTTCCTTTTTTTAATAATCTGTAAGATGCATCATACTTCTGACGTTTTCAAAAAGTGAAAACTGTATAAAAATAAATATTCTATGTACAAACACACACACAGGCCAATCCAGGTTAGAGGCATCACTGCAAAGCAAAAACAAACACAAACAACATAGAATTAATGACAGTGGGTCCGTGGGAGAGGAGGTAGACCTCCTGGGTTGGATGGGAGCTTGGGACAAGGGAACTGGGGGAACTATGAACGCTCCAGGTCAAAGACCCTCGTGCTGAGGGTGGGAACCCACTTTCGCCTTCCAGTCACTCCCCCTCATGGCCACTAGAGGGCACTTGCTCTCTGTGCTGCCTTTGGAGGCCTGGCTGTGGAATTACCACATCCTCCCAAACTGCATTTGTGGTGTGAACCAACAGACAAGGTCTCTAACTGCTTTTCCAAGACACTGTAGGTCTTGATAGTGGTCATTCTTCCCCTGCTAAGAACCGTCTCCACCTCCTAACTATCAGCAACAATCTCGAAGAAGAAAATACTTTTCTTGGGGAAGGGGTTTCGTTTGACACACCTCTCACCTTAAAGCTTCTGTGGAGCCTTAACTAGGCCTAGAGGAACTTGCCAAGAGGACAAGGCACAGCTGGAGGGACAGATTCCTGGGGAGGCGTGTCCCTTGAGGTCTGAGCTTTTCCTTTCTCTGGTTAGGGGGGTGCTTCAGGTACCTGGGCATGTGAGTGCCCCACTGTGGGCCTAGGGTCTTGGCAGTCTCACTTCTTTTACCCAATGCCAGGAGCTGATGAGATTATGGGCATTCAGCATAGAGGAGCTATTCATCTCATTGTAAGTATGACTCTGTTGCCACTGGGACAGGACTGTACAGCTAAGTACAAACCCTTGGTTGGGGTCTCCAGCTTTTATGAGAACAAGCCAATACCTTAAGAGCATGCAGTGAGGAATGTGAGAGGTGTTCGAGAGAAGGCAAGGTGGAGGGAAGCCATGGGTTGGGGGACAGCATGGCAGCTGCTACCTCTGCTGGGGGCCAAGTTGGGCTTCCTGATTAAAAAAACGGATGGCCCTGGTCAGGCTGGGAAGCCCTGTGCTTTGGGGCCATGGCTGAGCAGGGGGATTGTGCGCAAGGGCACAGTCATGTGTTGTCAGATGGCTTTAATGATGGCAAATGCCACCTGAACAAATGAAAACTCACTGTTGGTAGGAATTCTGGGAACCTAAGAGAGGTTGGGCTGCAATCTCATGTGTGGAAGCATGAAGCTCTGACAGTGTAAATTCAAGGGGGGTGGGTAGAGTGGTGAGTGGCCAGTCTCTATGAGGACATGGAAGCCATGTGAGTTTATAGTTTGAACAACGTAGATTCCCTCCATCTGCATAAATGTCATCATATCCTTAAATGACCTCATAGGAACACTTACGGGAATAGCTAATGATAACTGATTTTAAAATATGATCTAGAACTCTTTGGAGGAAAGGTACTATACAAATTAACCATGCAAAGCAAAAAAAATGTCATCTGTGTGGCTACATGGAAATTCCATACTGGGGTTTACTGATGCCTTAAAAAGCATTTTTAAAAGTTCTCCAAGTGCGGGCAGTGTGGGTGGGGTTGAACGGCACCCTGCCTTTGGGATTGTTCCTTTCTTTGACCCATGTCTTGCTGCCTGATCTGCATAAAGGCCCAGAATGGAAATGTGCACGCTTTATCACACTGTTGAAAATGGAGCCCCAAGTACACCTATGCCCTGGAGGCACTGCAAGCCCCTGGGCAGCCTTACCTTGTTCCAGCAGCCCTGGACTGGTAAGCCGTCTTCGCCCTGCAGTGAGGAAGGAAGGCAGGCAGCTCAGACTCTGGGAACAGGCAGACTCACCAAGCAGGCAGGACAGGGGGAGTAAGGGCCACAAACTTCGTGGCAGCTGATCAGGATGCCGCCCACCTGCTATTGTCTGTATCTTTTATAATCTACCCCAGGGCCTAGCCTCTGAAGAGGGAGGGACTCCACCGGTGAGGGTTACCTGTAGTTCCAGTACAAGGCCATGAGGAGCTATCCTAGCCTGTGGGTCAGCAAGCAGGGCCACCTGAGTGCCCTGTGCCCTGGGGAGAACAGCCTAAAGACCTGCTGGTGTCTGCTGTAGCTGCACTGGGTGCTGGGGCTCACGGGGAAGTCACCAGGGCATGGTGGCCTCGGTTTCCTCTTCCGCGAAAACCTAGGGAAGGTGTGACTGTATGAAGTGACCACCAAGGTGCCCCCAGTTCTTCAATTCTCTCATTGTCCTCTCTTCGTTACCAGAGGAAGAAGACACCTAGGCAGTTCCCTTCTGATGATCAACAAGGTAGAGGAGGGGACGCAAAGGGATGGGCAACCTCATGGCTATTTCAGTGTGGTCCTGAGGTGCCTTCAGCCAGGCCACAAGGGCTTCTGGCACAGCCTTAGCCATTGCTGGGAATCTGGGGGTCAGATGCAGCAGCAGGATGGGAATCAACAGTGCGCTATGTGTCCCCTTTGCTAGTGGGCCCTGATGTCTTGGCATATCAGGCACACCCCATGGAAATCTAGGAATCTTTGAGAGACAAGGTGGGGAGGGGGAGGCTGAACCAGGGCAAAGAATGGGCTTTCAGTCCAGTCTACTATAACTGCAGCCCAGATTCTAGATTGCCAGGCTCCAGGGCAGAGAAAGGATGGACCCAGGGTTTCAGGGGGCTGGAGCAAGCAGTCAGCCCTGAGGAAGTTGGATGGGAGCCTTCTCTGTCCTGGACCAATTTCACCCACCCCTCACGGGTGCCTAAACCTCTCACCTGGCATGCAGCAGGCAGCCAGCCTGCCACGGTTGGCTGAAGAAATGTTATCTTCTTCTAAAAATCATGATCAATAGCTCCCCCTCCCCCCACATGCACGGTAATAGTGCAGAAGACAGGAAAAACAGCAACAATGAGAAACAAGAAAGGGAAGGTGTGTACACTTCCACAGCAAAATTAATGGATGAATGACGTATGGTTATGGGATGTTACTGGAGAAAATGCCACTTTGCATTAAGGGTCAGATAAAGATGACCTTTGTTGTCCCCTCTGGGTTGGGGAGGGTCTGCGGGTGGAGGTGGTACATTTCAGGGCTTCACGAAGACTTTCTGCCCCCCTCCCCAGCACCCCCGTGGTGTGGCACTTCACATGGACTCAGGAGGGGAGAGGAGCCTCCGCGGGCCACAGCGGCATTCCCATTGGCACGTGGATGGTGGCGGCGGGACAGAGGAGGGCAGGGCAGGCAGAGGAGATTGGTGATGTGTGACAGAGTTGCAGGGCGGCTAGGCTGTGGCCAACAGAACTCAAAGTGCTCAGGCTGTGGAAGGGATGAGGCAGAGGGCAGGCCTGGCTGACGATTAGTGGAGGGACTGTGGAATTCTGCATTGAGGGTGTGCCTCCGCATGCTGCAGGCTCAGGGCTCAACAGGCTGGCCCAGGGGAGCTGCAGGGGTGGTGAGCAAGGGTGCTAGCAGTGGGGGACAGGAAGCATGCACGCTCTCCTTTTGTTGCATGTGCTAGTCCTAAAAAGTCCCTTCAAGGGGCTCTATGGCCCCCTCTCAAGGTCACTCAGTGTATTTTCTTCTTTTTCTCTTCTGTTCAAAGATAATTCCTGTGTGACCACAGGGATAGGGATGTGGGGCCAGGAATTCTCATCTGTCTATTACTTGTATGAAAATAGCTTCATGAACTTCAAACTTAAGGAAACTGAAGAGATCAGGAAGCTTTTGAGCCAAAGGCCTTGGAAGGAAGTGGCGTCTTTGCTCCCCTTTCAGTAAGTTGAAATGATCGCTGTGGAGGCTGGAATCTCCCAGGGCCGGTGGGAACAGACCTGTGGCCCTTTCGGCTGGGACATGCTTGGGTGAGGGGTCCTCCAAGTCTCTCCTCTCCCTCCATGCCTTCCCGTCTCCTCCCTTCTTCCTTGGCTAACATTCTCAGCCTTTCCATTCTCTTCTAGACTTTTCGTTAGTGAACTATCTGAAGGTGAGAGAAATGGAAACCAAGGGGAAAGGGGTCTTAGAGTGTCTTCTGGGATTTAAGCACAAAGGAAAAACGCTCTAGGATCTAAAATCCTGACCCTGGACCATCCCCTAGCTCTGGTGGTGTCACCAGGGCAGCAACCCAGACCGAGTCTACAAGAAACAGCAGGGCGGCCCTCTCCTCTGCCTCGGTTCTGGGCCTTCTCAGTCTACCTCATGTTTGTAAACATGCCATCTGTCCCCTGCCAAACCATGAGATGGTGCTGGGAAGGGATGTGGGGCCAGCCCAGGCATCTCATTCCAGTGCTCTGCTGGGTGCTCAGCCAATGCTTACAGAACTAACTGCTGTGTAGGAAAGAAGAGAAGGTTCAGGTGCTAAAAATCTGTCCAGAGAATCCACTTTTTTTTTCTGGAGGCAGATTTTCTGAGAAGCAGTTCTGAAAGGAGGCTCAGATGCAGCTAAAGCTGGTTTCAGGATGGGGTGTGGGGGCTTGCACTGAGGTGGTGTGCTTTTGAAACAGCTGCAAAAGGAAGCCCAGGAAACACCCCCATGAACTCTGCATGCTCATGGGGAACTTGGCAAGAGCCCCTGAGGACCAGCCAGGGCAGGGCAGCCCTTGGTGTCTACAGAGAGAAGAGGCAGGAAGTGGAGCTTGGATGGAGGGAGCAGGAGCGGAGGCTGGCTAGACAGGCATGCAGGCAGGAACCGCACACGTGGGGAAGCCCAAATCGGCCATGCAGGCAAGGGAGGGTGATGCCATACCAATGGGCACGGGGCATCCAGTCCGTCCAGCCCTGGTAACCCCGGCTCCCCTTTCTCTCCTTTAAAACCTCGGTGTCCCTGTTCACAAAACCAACCACGATGATTATTTAGGTCAAGGCTGGCCAGCTCCAACTGTGGAGTGGAGAGGCCCAGTCTTACCCTGGCCAGGATGCAGGACCCTGAGGCATTTATAGGTAGGGCTTAAATCCCAGATGATGCTCACATCCCAAATTCACCCTTTGCACTTTATTTGGTACAACTCTCTGAGAGAGTTGAGCTTTGGAACATGTACAGCCAACCTCTCCATTTAAAGACCCACCTAGAGTAAACACAGGGGAACTTCAGCTTCAAGGCAGCATCATTTTCAGAACCTTCAGATGGATTGTGAAGGCACTTGAGAAGCGCAGCTGATGTGCCACACAGCAATCCTTACTGGCTTGTTTGGGAAGGCTTCTTGGGGTGTCTGTGTACCGATTTGGGCCTGCAGTTTTATAGTTTTTAGCTGGATGGCTGGTGGATGTTAGGAGGCTGTATATTAAGAGTCCCTTTTCTGGCCGTGTGCTGCCCAGTTTTGGGCCTATGTGACCCTCAGGAGGTGCTAACTTGAGTGTCCTGCATCCTGACCAAGGATTCCAACAGCTTGAACTGCTGGCCACAAAGGTGGCCACAAAACAAAGAAGGCAAATGCATGGCTCACAAATGCTACACTGGCTTCCAAAGCTATCCTTTCCTCATGTCTTCTCCATTTCCACTCATCAATTGTTCTGCATCTTCAAAGGAAAGGGATTTAGCCAGAATTACTTGCAGCTGTGGTTGGAGGGCAAAACCATCAGCAGGCGAAATTCACCGGCCATGTGAACAGATTTTGGTAGCATCAGTGTAGTCATTTGGCTGTCAGCTTATTTGCCTTCTTCGTTTCCAACTTGCAAACCTCAAGGAAAAAACCAGAACAATGCAAGTGATAAATGAAAACATACCAATGGACAGGGGGCATCTAATCCAGGCGCTCCTTGGTCTCCCTTATCCCCTTTAGGCCCTCTAGAGCCTTTCTTCCCCCTCTCCCCCTGTAAATAATGGTTTAGTCCAAGAGAAAAAAAATAACATCAACACTTTAGGATCATTCTTGAGTTAAGGTTAGAGACAGAGAAAGAAAAAAATTTAAAGAGGGGAAAAGAGCTTCTCTCAGGATATTCTCCCCAAGAGGATTTGGGGTCAGTATCTATCCCAAACCCTCTAGGAACCGGAGAGTTTCGCTAAGGCAGGTGGGGAGGGGCAGAGAGGAAATGGAGTCCTGGGGGCAGGGAGCAGTAGGGCTCAGAGCCCGTGGGAAGGCACATGGAAGATACTGGCAGCCGGTTTTGCTAATACTGGGCCCAGAGTAGGTCTGTAATGAACAGGGAGCCCCACTTCCTTCACTTTGAGGGTCCAATTTTGAAAGGCTTTTCACTGACAACTTTTGTCCCAATTGGTTTTCATCCTTTTGATATTCTATTAGGAGGCAAGGTGATTTTGTTTAGCGCCCTGGGGTATGTGTGTGTGTGAAAGTGGCATGCATGAATGTGTGCATGTACATGATTGTGCGTGTGCGTGTAGGAGTGTATGACTATGTGCTTGTGCATGTGTATACAAGTGTGTGCTTGTATGTGTGTGTCTGGGTTCGTGGGTGGCCCCTGGTTCTCAGTTGGGTCCTCCCATTCTACCTGTGTCTCTGGTCCGTCCTGGTCTGAAGTCATAAGCAGTTATTTGTATAGGACAAGTTGGTTCAAGGAATTCATTTATTTCTGAAACACATAGTCTTTCTAAATTGAACTCTATTTTGTACATGTCAGGATCTCCATTTAAAGAAGGGCTGCGGGGAATTCTTCGTAATGAATTTGAGTTTGGGTTTTCATATGTAGGGTTTATAAAGAGGCAAATCTGCCTGGGTACTCTTCTCTACAGGCTGGTAGTCTAATGCCTGGGGACTTCCATGGTGTTACCCAGGGTGGCAGTGCCTGGGAGGTGGGCAGCATGTTGATCGGAGCAAAGGCTCTGGGCCCGAGAGGGTTCTGCCTATTATCAGCAGTGTGACTTGGGGAAGTTTCTTAACCTCTCTGAGCCTCTCTGAGTTTCTTCATCTGTAAAATACGGATAATAGCACCTGCCTCAGAACTTTGTGGTGAGGTCTGTGCACACTAAGTGTTCACCACTGGCTACAGTACATGTGCTGTGCAGTAAATCAAAGTTGCTTTGGAATGATAACTAGAGTGATGTTTATTTCTTGTTGGCCACTATAGCAGCCGGGGCTGCCACCAGAGGACTGGCCTTGTGTCACTTGTTCCCTCAGCCAAACGCTGCAGCGTTCATTACAGGAGGCCAAGAATAAGATTTTTTTTGATGTTTCCCTGGATTGGGAGTTACTCCAACTTCATGATTCCAGAGGCTCCCTGTAATTGCTAATACATTGTTCTAAGTGAGTTCTCTAGGTGGTATGTGCTTAAGAGGAAACATGGATATGCATACCAGGTGTGATTGCTTTGGCTCTAAGATGCACCCACCAATCACGGCAAACCCATGGAAAACTTTCTCAGAAGTGCGGTCCCTCATTCTCCTTGGGTCAGGCCAGTGTAAGCACAATTTCCTTGGTTCAGGGGGTGGGCAAAGCTCCCAGAGTAGGGGCTTCCAGGCCCCAGATGACTTGCCTATCGGTAACAGAGGGTAGGCTGTGGTCCTGATTTTCAGGATGAGAAACTTGCACTCTGGGACATCATGTTCTAAGGGCATTGGAAATGGCTTTTGATTGGTGTTCTTTGAAGATTATTAGAGTAGTAGCTTTACCTACATCCTCCCTGCCCCCCATCCCAAGAGCAACAGGATGGAGGCCCTGGCAAAGAGGGAATGCTAGCTAGGAATTCTAATGGGGAAAGGGGCAAATAGAAGTCAAGTAGCAGAGGTTTCTTTAAAAAATATGTAAATGTATAAAAATTGATTTTAGAGGAATTGGAGCTGAGGGAGCAGAAGAGAAAGGATGAGGGATACAGGGCTATTATAATAGGGTGCACATACCTAGGCGTAGAAATATTGAAGGAGTAAAGGAAGGAAGAGGCAGGCCCAGGCCAAAGGAGAGAGGAGAGGAAGGAGCAGCGAGGAGACAGGGTGACCTGGTGAAGCAAGACACATACACACATGCGTGCACGCACACACTCTCACATGCATGTACTCCAGAGGGCGCATCTTGGGGGTGACAGTGCCCTCACTGCATGCACTCAGACCTTCCAGCTGGTGGGCTTGCAGAAAGCTCCACCATAGGTACTGCTTTCCCTGGTGCCTAAATTGCCAGATTCACAGTCCCTTTTATCCTTTGACAGACTTTTTCATCTGAAAATTGGTTCCTGGGCCAAATCCACAAAGCTATTGAGGGACAAGAAGAGTGCCCCAGTGACAAGGGACGGACCATTCTTTCCACTGTCCTTAGAAAACTGCCTGTTTGAGCTCTGGCCTTTGCCCATCACTCTGAGGACCTTCTTCCTTCCATGACTCCTTCCATGAACAGGAAAGAGGCTCCAAGACCATCCCCTGGCAGGTCATGGAGAAGCATCGTTTCAAAATTGTACCTCGGTTCACTGTAAGATAGAGCAACAGGCTTGTGGTGAACCCCCTGGAGCCTCTTGATGGGGTCAAATGATGTGTGGCAAAGTTTGGGAGCTGCCCTACAGGCAGCCACTCTCTCATACCCGGTGGGGTGGAGGGGTGTGAAGTGAGTTTGAACATCATCTCCAGCTTTACTTTCCAAAGTTTCTCACCAGAATGTCATCTAAGCCCTTCTGGTCTTTTACCGTGACTAAAGTAAGCTTCCGGGCATCAGAAAAACTGTCCAGGGCAAAGCGTTGACACTGCTTGGAACTTTCTTGGTTTCGGAGGTTTATTACTAAGCCCTCACATCTCCCTGTCAAAATCCTGTTAGAGCTGGTGATATATAGAGGTCTCAAAGAGGAGGTAAGATGTAGGGGAGCCTCTTCCCGGACATCTGGCATCCTGAGAGTCAAATTTCTTGAATGAAGAAAACAAGCTGCTCCTTGATTCAGAAATTCCCTCTTTGGAGTAAGTCCTGGTATACTCAAAAGAGGTTCATGGAACTTGACTACTCATTGGACTTGATTTCTTTTAAGTGACATACTGCTAATTTATATAGGGAATAGGGGAAAGTGTATAAAATCTTAGAAAAGGGACGTGGAGAAGAAATATTCCCACTGATTCCTGGGGCCTTACTGCTCATTCAACAGCCTTGGTCCCTCACACCGTGGGGCTTCCAGCTCCCCACCACCCCTCTGTCTGTGATAAGGGTGTGTGCCTGCCCTGCCCCCACCTCTAGAGCCATGTAATTACCACCATGGGAAGGACTGGTATGTAGCCTTCAAGGGTCTCAGGGCCTCAAACCAACTGAAAAGGTCTTAAGAAATAAGTTCAAAAATTATTAATTGAATGCAATAAGGGAAACCAGAACACTCTAGAAATAAATTAGAAAGGAGGTTAGTATGCTAAGTAGAGGTGGAATGATCAATTTTTTAGTGGTCTAAATTCTCTGATGCCACAGAAATGAAGGCGGGCTTCCCAGGCTGCCTTAAAAGGCTGGCACAGTTCTGGAAGCAGGTCTGTTTATTCCAGGGGCTTCTAGACTTGGTCTTCCTACAGACAATCCTGTAGGGGTAGTTCTGCCTGCTCCCTCCTGTTTATATGGGATGGACTGAGCTGCTTTTGACCAGCTGACAGAAAGGAGAATTCAGACATAGAAGTGCTCAATAAATACATCTTATACTGAAGAAACTGGAATCTGTGACAGATATAAGCATACAGATTCTGGCACTTTCTACTCATGAACCTGGTTATCAGTGTTTAAAGATTAGCAGGAAGCCTGGGCTTCTAGAAGCCACCTACTCTGCTTCTAACTGTGTGAACTCAGTGTATTTCATCATCTTTCTTGGTCCTGCTTCTTCCATCTGCTCTTCCCATTCCGTCTCTTCTGCCTCTAGAATTCTTGGACATTATGACCCACTAGAAGACACTCCTGGGCCTCTAGGAGTGTGTCATACTCTGAGAACCACTGTGATAAAACAGCTGATGAGACATTCTAGAAAGGACCCCAAAGGTTCTCTCTTGGTCAGTTAAAGGGTCTCTCCTGGTTCCCAAAGTATCATGTGTCCTATACTATCCCATGGCTGTGGGTGCCATGGACACACGATGACCATCACATACTGTGTCTGGGTGCAGGTGGCAGGAACCAAAGTGATGGCAAGAGGCATTACCAAGAGAAATAATGGCTGCAGTATTTTTTTTTAAAAGGTCAGCTGTTTACGACAACTGTCTGCTTAGTTTTGGAATTGGAATTTATTTTCTTTCTCACCCTTGGCCTGGGATGCCTGGCAAAAAAGTTTCAGAAGGCTAGGACTGGGCAAGATGAATCTAAAAATATCATTTAGGGGCCCATTATCAGGGCACCACAGGGAGAGCTGGCATGTGACTCTGGGTACTAGATGGAGATGCTAATCTGATGGCTACCAAGGGATGCTGCCTCCCCTTCTTGTGTGGAGAAATAAATACATGTTTCAATTTCAAGATTAGGCCCCAGGCTCCCTGCAACGCTGCAGATTAAGACCCTCACTATAAAGCCTTTTAATTTAGGTTGATTTATCAGGAAAAACTGTATTTGCAGTGTTGGGTCAGGAACCCCCAGTTGATCATTCCACCACATCAGGAAGACATTAGTAACCAGGGCCAAAGTGCGAGGGCTCAGACTCACCCGGTTTCCTTTGTCCCCGGGTGGTCCGTGTAAACCCTGCAATAAATCAGAGAAATGAAGACACGTTAATGAGAAAACACAGGATGGCCATACAGTCCTTCCTTCCAGGCTCGTAAAGCTCTTCACGGATGCCTAATTCATTGGAGACAGGTTTAATTATCCCCATTTTACAGAAGGAGGACAAAGGGGCTCAAGGAACTTGACCAGAGACAGAGTTGCAGGCAGAGCCAAGAACACAGTTCTGGGCCCCGGCTGACGGGCTATGGAGGCACCAGAAACAGCAGAGCAATGGCTGCGGACCCCAGAAACAAGAGGGCTTCCGGTGGGAGCCCTCACTGCAGGCCAGTGACCATGTTCGTCTAGACTGCTACACTGAGGGGTGGTGGCTGCTGAGGAACACAGTCTAGGCGAAGAGAACCCTCCTGGCAGAGGAGGTGTTCATGTGGCTCTCCTGCCAGGCTCTTGCTAGAAAATGACTCCAAAGATCCTCAAAGCTTCTGTCAAGGTGCAAGCTGCTCTTGGCAGTCTTTGGCCAGGGGAATGAGCAACAGGCAGAGACTGTCTGCAGTGGCCTGCTTAGCCAGAGCAAAGCCGTCTGGGCAGCCAAGCATGGAACTGGGGAACAGATGTATATCCTTTAAGTGGGTGGGTAACAGAAGTCTGGGCTCTCTTAGGCAATCAACTTTAATAACAACTCAATGGGGAAATCTGCGGCAACTGGAAAGCCAGTCCCATGGGAAAGGTGTGTCTCTCATGAAGCATCCTTTTTGTATGAGGGTGACCTGGATCTGATCCCACCCTGTCTTGAGGGTAGGGGCCATGGCGCATTCATCTGTGAGACCCCCATTGCACTGAGCACAGAGGCTTGCAGTGGAAGAGTCTCATCTGTATTTGCTGCATCCTGTCAGGAGGTCCACACGGCTGAGGACCAGGTCCCTAACAGGGGCCAGGTGTCCCGAGTTGGCCTGGAGCAGTGCCCAGCGGGAAACTTTTGGCCCATTGACCACTGGCTATTGGCAGCTTCCTCTGTCACAGAAATGAGAATTCTCATTTGGCTCCACATTTTTTGCTCCAGGCTCTGGGTATTGTTTTGACAGTGCTTCTACTGGGGGACAGGGTTTGGTGGAAAACCCCCAACCCCACGAGACTTACAGGAAGCCCAGCTGCTCCCGTTGGTCCTGTCACCCCAGGGTCACCTTTGCTGCCCTGAAATGGAAGAAAGACACCCATGAGCCCTCCCTGAGGTGGCAGCAGCCTTCCATCCACTGTTTTCTGTTTTCTTCTGAAGCCCAGGAAACCTCTCCAGCCCCTCTGAAAGAGCCCTCCAGGGAGCCAGAGCTGAGTGGAGGGTGGGGGGACTGGCGTGGACTCTGCCCTCTCACCCTCCCTGGCACAGTCTGTCCCCCACGGCCCTCCAGGAGGACTGGGCAGTGTCCTGGGGCTACTGGCTGATCTGAGGCAGAAGCACGGGAGGAGAAAAAGGAGGAGGTGGGCATATAGAGGGAAGGCAGGGAACAGAGAAAGAAAAGAGAGAGCTTTGATTTCTCCTTTGAAGCTACAAGGGTCACCCCTCAGAGCAGCCACCCTGGTTTCCCAAAGTGGCTGGTGGTTTCAGGGGAGCCTATGTCCCTCTTCAGCTCTCCTTTCTTCTCACCCTCAGCTGTGAGTAGGACAGAGCACCCCCTAGGGCAGACTCAGCAAGGTGGGTGGATAGCAAGACGGGGAGAGCTGCAGACATGCAGAGGTCCAGCGCCCATGCAGGCCCTGCAGTGCTCCCACCCTCTGAATGTGTGGGGACGGGCCTGGGAGGAGCAGATATGGAGAAGACACACAGCTCACCTCCTCCACTGAGCCAAGCCCTGCCCCTGACCTCCCACATGCCCACTCCACGCCACTAGAGCTGGGAGCACAGTGACCTTGGGAGGTGGACTAACACCCTGCCCTCCTGACTCCTTGATGTCATCCAGAATTTTCTACCATCACCCTGTACTCTGTTGACTGCTGTCTCCCTAATTCATTACAAAGTTTAGACATGTCTGGTCCCTACAGTCCCTGGGTCCTTGCCAGACAGCCGGTGACTGACACCAGGTGACCAGAAGCTGAGTGGAGGGACTTCTCCATCTCTGTCCACTCATAGCTATAAAATGAGCGCCCCCATCCTGCCCAGCCCCCCAATGGGCTGCTGTGAAGATCAGGCGAAGACATGGATGGAGGCGTTGGCTGGGCCTAGGTGAGTGAGTGAGGGCTGAGACTGCAGGGGCGGACAGCCTGGGCCGAGGGGGCAGCCCGGCCCTCCTCCTGGGCGCCCAGGCTCCTGGCTCACTGAGCACTCACCCTCTCGCCCTTGGGTCCCGCCGGGCCTGGAACTCCAGTTGGTCCCGGAGTGCCCTGGGGAGGTGCAAGAAAGCAGAGGTGAGGGTCCTGGGGCTGAGGGAGCCCTGGGAGCACCGCCCGGTGCCTGGAGACGAGCAAGGTCCAGAGGCCCAGTTTTCAGGGTTGGCGAGGCCAGGCTCGTTCAGAGCAGTCATTCAACTGGGGCGCGTTCCTGTTTGGGTCTGTGGGCCTCAGGAGAGAGCACCTTTCCCCGCTTCTGAGCCAGATTTGAGGAAGGAAACCCTTTTGCTGCACAACCAAGCTTGCCAAGGCTGAAAACGGTAGGAGAAAGGTTGCTTAGTTCGCTCCCAGAAGCGCTTGGGAGGGAGTTGACGCCATCCCAGGGGTGGGGGTGGGAGCCGGCACCCCTTTGCTGTCGCAGCTCCACATGCAGCAGGAGGGTCTTCATGCTACAGAGACCAATGCAGACGCACACAGAGAGGCAGGCGTGGGAGGGTCATTCAGCCACCGCCCACCCCACTCGCCCCCGCTGTGGGCCCTGGCCTTCAGCCTCTGGCTGGGGCCTTTTGTTCCCCACTCCCCGACCCTATGGAAAAGGCTGGACTGGAGAGTGTGAATCAGTAATGCGTCAAATGTCTGCACACACTGGCCTGGCAGGGAGGTGGGTCATGAGCACTCCCGACTCAGGCTGCCGGGGAAGTGGAGAGCTGGAGCTATGGAGCTGCGTTGCCTAGAGACGGAATGGGGCTGGCGATGCCATAATTAAACATCTTCCCCAGGTCCCAATTTACAGCCCAATGAGATGGAGTCTGTTTCACAGCTTCCTGTTGCTCTGCCTCAGTGTGTATGTTCCTGCTCAGACGAGGACTTGAGCACATGCGGCTGGGCCTGTGGGTGCTCTGGGCGCAGCTGTCTGTGACAGGCAGGGCATGAGCGAGTGGGGAAATGCTGATTTACTTTAAGTGAAAAAACAAAAAGAGCAATAAGATGTTCTTGGTGCTCCTTCTGCAACTCTGAGGGAAGAAGGAAAGCTATGGGCATCTGTGTCATGAGGACATCGAAAAATGAAAGAGGCCAGAACAGGGTCACGGTTCAGAACAGCACTCTGGAGTCACCAGCCAGCTTCAAGTCCTGCCCCGAGGCCTGTAAACTCTGCAATATTGGATAAGTTTTCTGGCCTCTCTGGGCTCTTGTTTCTCACCTATAAAATGGGGGTGATAACATGAGTGTCTGCCTCGCAGGCTGCTGCCAGGTTAAAACAGACGAATGTGTGTCATGCATTTGGCACGGAGCCTGACACCTAGGAGGTGCCCAACAAGTGCTAGTATCGGCAGGGCAGGATTATTCTCCCCGTAAAAATTTTCCTTTAAGGTTGTGGTACTGATTCTATGAGGAAAATAAAACCTTTGGCCCAAAGTGGATAGAATATATGCCTTTGCACTGCTCCCCTCTGTCCAATAAGAATGGAATAAATAGTTGAGAGGAAAGTCTTAGTTTCTGATTCCAACCACAGATGACAGCCCTAGCCCTGACCCTCCAGGGAAGGGTGAGCTGGACGTGAGGAGAATGGAAAGGGAGGGACTGCGGTGGAGGGGCTAAGCTGTAGTAATGCCTAGAATATGTGAGAGTCTACAGTGTCAAGTCCATAACTGCATGGGGTGGGGAGCCCTAAAAAGATGTCAACTTGGGCAAGTCATGTCCCTCCTCTTTTTTATGAGGGCACAGAACAGGCACGCAACAGGATGAGGCTCTGAGTGGGGTTGCTCAGCTCTAGGCTACTGGTGGCACCAGTTCTGAGGTCTACCTCCAGGCCTCCAGGAAGGCCTGCTGCTGTTGGGTTTTGATGTCCTCCCTCCACAAATGAAACCCTGCAAGTTCTTGTCTTCCCTTGAGTGTCCCTCCAGCTAGCTCATTAGAACCTCGTCTTCTGGGCAGACCATGCATCTGTAGCCTCAAAAGTTTCCTGCAAGGGCAGAGCTGGGACTCGCTGGCTGGAAGGGGCTGGGCACACATACAGTCTCATTATGGCTCCTGGGCAGGGAAGTCCAGCCTGCCGGTCCCTGATGGTCAGTCACCCCTATACCATGGGAGGGTGTTGACTGGGAGTGTCATTGCCCTGCAGACCACATGGGGTGCTCTGGGAGGGGGACTGGAAGGTGGAAAGGAGGGATGTTTCTCCTGATGCTTCAACTGTTTGTCACAAGAAGGGCCAGGTGCTTCTAGTCATGAGTAGGTGGTGCCTGTCTTCTGCAATCAGGACGAATGGTGACGAGGGGATTGCTTTGTTGGGTTACAGGATGGCTGTGGCACCACAGGAAGTGAAGTGTTGTCACATGCCCACAGAACGCTGAGCTGGACGGTCCTGGGTGCTCTCAAATCCCACACCTGCCCTCACCTGTCAGTGTGGTCCCCACCCTCATACAAACCAGACGGTGGCTGTGCGGGACTAGGAAGCCCTCGAGGGCAGACAGGAGATGACAGAGCTCACAGCATGAAGACGACACAGACACTGTTGTGTGTGTGGGAGGAGTGAGGGCGCAGACCCTCAGGAGTGGGCTCCAGGCTGAGCTCGGCATTCCTTGAGGACTCTGTGCTGTTAGACTGGCCTCCCATCCCACATCCAGAAGTCTGGGAATTCAGACGTGAGAACCCTGCGTGCATACTGCGGCCAGGGGAAATCAGATAAAGGCCATCATCTTTGGTCAAGAGGCCCGCATAAGCACTTTCTTGTGGTAGCTTTCTGCTGTCGGTGGTGAGGTAAGGCATACCTCAGTGGGAAAATGGGACCACAGCAGGACAGACAAGAGGGGTCACAGGCTGGGGGTGGGGTGGGGTGGGGTGAAGGGTAATGGAGAAGTGACACTCACCGGTGGCCCAGGCCTGCCGTCCAAACCTGAAGCTCCCTGGACGAAGGGAACAGTTTGACCAAAAGAAGGGGAAGGGAGGAATGGGAGGGAGAAAAAGGGACCGGGGAGGGAAGAGGTGAGTGAAGCAGTGACTCTGGACAGACATAAATGCTGGTCATCAAACAAAACAGAGGGCGGGTAAGCTTGGGAGGACAGGTGATGGTATTCACACGGAAACCAACAAAAACATGGAGACACTGAATGTGGGCTGGCTGACTGCTGAGCAGGCTGGGAGAGGTCAGTGCAGATGGCCATTCTGATCCTCTGTGCCCCCTCTCTCCTGTTATTCCCTATCAGAAATCCCTCTCCCAAGGGGTTGCAGAACTTTGGGGAAAGGGTACAGCAAGTGAATTCATGGACAGGTGTCTGGAGCCAGAGTAGTGCATTCTTCCCAGGACCAGTCTCACTGGGGAGAGACAAGCCCGTGTGGAGGGTAGGGGCCTGGGGAGAGGGCCTTCCCAGCCTCTGTGCATAGCTGTTGAGAACAGGCCACACTGGGGAGCCTGAGGGGTCAGCACTGTATCGTGTTTAACCCCTGACTTTGAAATCCCGGCAGAAGCTGGCCTACTGATACTTCAGCCAGTGGGAGGAGTTGCTCTTGAATGATAACACTAAGGATGCCTGACATTTCTCTGGCATGTCACAGTTTGCAAAGTTCAACACAAACTCAACCATTCATATTAGCCTAGACAAGGGCTCTTTTATAGGAAAAGGCTTTGGGGGCAGCTGACTGGGATAGAGGTCTAAGGCTGTGTATCCCCTGTGTATAAACTGGCTGGCAGGTGGGTGCTGTTAAGACCCAATCGCCATGCGGTATCAGTGATACATGTGGTGGGAATGGAGCTCTTGCTTCCATGCGGGGCTGTGAAGCTGCCCCTGTGACACCCCCTAGGAGAACCAGGAGGAAAATTATCCAATGATTCCAATGCGCAAACCAGGAAGAAGGCCATGGGGAAGCTGGCCTGGGAAAAACTGAGTTCTTGAAAACTGCTTCCAACTCAGCCACAGGAATGAGCCTAGGCCTCAGGATTTTATAGGTGGAGGGAAAGGGAGGGCAGGGAGCTGCTTCCTTCCTGGGGAAAGGGTGTTGGGTAGAAGGTTCCTACAGGGCCTCACTTCTCAGTTTTAGGACCATCTAATTCTGTGATGACCTTGACTCACAGTCTAGAGAGCTGTGGTTCTCAACCTCAGCTGCAGCATCAGACTTCCCTGGGGATGATGTGAAACAGTAGAGATCCGTGGGTCCCACCCTGGCTCAATTTATCCAGAGTCTCCAAGAACAAGGCTGGGATTATGGCATATTTGAAAAGTTCTAGGTGATCCCATTGTGCAGTCAGCATTGAGAACTACTTCTCTAGGGCAAGTAGGAGTAACTCAGTAGGATACACCTGGAGAAATAGGACGCTGCCAGATGGGAATAAAATACTGAGGTGAAGCCTAAAAACAGAACTTTAGTTAAATATCCACAAACTTTGTCTATGCAGCATTAATACCGAGTTATCTTGAGAGGTCTGGAACAGAGGGCAAAAGCTGAGGCTTTCAGGCCTTATATGGATCACTGACAGACTTGTATGGTCTGCGGCATTACAAATCATTTTGATTTAATGTTAGAAAATGGGGAGAGTTCACATAAAATGCCAGATGTCCAGCTTCCTTTGAACAATTAGAAAATCCAGAAATACTGGACCCTCATTTCCTGAAGGCAACAGTCAGCTGAACTGGGAAGGGTCTACTCTCTTTAAGAAGAGACACATGGTCTGTAGCATACCACAGTCCCCACCATTCCCTCTTGTTTCTCTGAAGATTATTTTCATTGCTGTTTATGAATATGCTTGCTCTTTTGTTTCCATAAGCTAGCAGAAGTATTTCTTGTACCCAAGTCTCTATCAAAAGATAAAAAAATTAAAGATAGATTACGTATTTTGTCTTTCTGCTGGCACTTTCTTTGTTTATATTACCTGTTTGGTCTCTGTGCCATTTGCATTTCAAGTCCTGATTGAATTCTGCATGTTCACTAAGATGGCCAAGGAGAGATTTACGGCTGAGTGGGGGCAGGAAGGCTCATTAATTGTAAGGAGAACATAATCATTCCGGACACAGCTTAAGATATGGGAAAATGTCATCCATTTTTCATAGTCTGTTAGGTGAATCAGTCCTTTAAATACTCTTACACTTAATTCACAAAATGAGGGTGTCCTCATACCTTTTGCTCTCGTTGCTTGGTTGCTGTGATTACATTAATCAGACCTTCAAACTCTGCCCACCTGGGGTATTTTCCATTGTTCCTCTGTTCTTTATGACCTCCTTGGGTGGGAACTGGCACTGTGCTCAGGTTGGAGAAAGCCCTAGGGGCTGGGAAGAGCCCCTTTGCACAGCTGTGAAGCTGACTCTGGCCCAGCCCAGTCCAGTCCCCGGCTTCATGTAGGACCTCAAGTGGTTCACTTTTTCTCTGGGTCCATCAGGAAAATGATTAGTTGGGTCACTAAAGCCCTTTCCAGCTCTTGAAAAATAAGCCCAAAGGAGCACCAGTCTCACTGGGGTGTGAGGGAGGCTGGAACCCAAGGCTCCAGGATGGCTGGTGGGGTACGCTCACCTGGACACAGGTAAGGGGTGATGAGGCCATCAGCCCACTGGATTTGCCCAGGCCAGGCCCCACATCTGGAAATGCAGATGCCTTCTGAGCAGTTGCTTGTCCTGACCTGGGGCCTCTAAGCCCTGGGCAGGCTGACATCCGAGTTCCTGGGGCACTGAGATCCAAGCAGCCTCAGCCTGTTGGGACCAGAGAATCTGCTTTTTGTAAGCTTTTCTGCATGGCCAGTGCTTAAGGGCAGAGAGCAAGGACTCAGAGAATAGGAAAGAGGTGGGGAATCCTCTATTTTTCCATCACTCCCAAGTCCTCTAAGCTTGGCTCCTGGGAGAATAGATTTTTATTGCCTCTAAGTCATACAGAAGTAGGGCCTGAGGCTGCTTCTTAGACCACTTCTGGCTCCAGCTGGGTGCTCCTTGGGGTGGAAGGCCCTGTCTTACTCGGCTTCACATTTCCCCCACACCTATGCCAGAGCCTGGCGCTGAGGAGGCCCTCAGTAAAAGAATTAGAATCTATGGTCTTGCCTGGGTGGGAGAGAACACCACACTGAATGCTCTGAAATGCTTGGACCTTTAGAACCTCCAGTCTTCCATTCCAGAGGCCTTCTCCCAGGGCCCCGCCCACCACCCCTGGCCTCATCACAACACCTGGCTGAGCTCCTACGACAGTCTTGTGGGGCCTGTGATACTTACGGGTAATCCCAGAGGGCCTCGGTCTCCCTTCTCTCCCTGGACACCCTTCTCTCCTTTCGGTCCATCTAGTCCTGCTTCCCCCTGCAGGAAACGGAGATGGGGGAGGTCACAGGAGGGCATGTCACAGACAGCTCATTCTCGCATCCTGGGACCCAGAAATGGGGGTGATGGTGGGAGGTGGGGCAGGTAGAGGAGAGAGGATGGACAAGGTGGAGGTGGCTGGCCGCAGGATGGCAGGCTGGGGACTTCATGGATCCCCAAGCTCTGCCTCAGTTAGAGTCCCCTGGGTCCCTGCAGTAACTTTGAGACACCCAAAGGGAAGAAGGGGTGGGTGGAGTGGAGACAAACCCACAGGGCATTTCCAAGTCAGGCTTTGGCATAGGTGACCATCTGCATAAGAGGAAGACTGGGACTCTGTGGAGACCGACTGGCAGGGGTCTGAAATGCCAGCACTGGGGCTCCAAGGCTCTCAAACTAACTGGGAGAAGAAACTGCACAGTAGTCCCCTGAAGAATCTCAGGGCAGGAGGGCAGGGCCATTGTCATGCCAGAGCCTCCAGCCCCTCTTATCCATTTGAAATACTTCGGAGGGAGGAGACTGAGAAAGCCCCAGGCCAGAGTCTAGTGGGCCTGGACCCAGGGAAGGGCCCCACATTATGTTGCTCTCTGTCTCCCACCTATCCTTCAGGGTGAGTCTGGGGCAGGTTACATGGGGAAAGGACTTCATCATTTGCTATGACAGTAGACCCTGTCATTCTGTAGGGTCTTCTGATGGATGGCAGAATTCTAAATCCAAAGTCTGTCTAGCATCAAAGATGAATGTGAAGGGGATCATAGGACTTAATTCTTTCCTGATGCCCTCCACAGGTCACACGATTCCATTTAAGGAAGGGGTCAGCTGGGCCAACCGCCTCTGCAGCGCTGTCCCTCTTCTGCTCCCATGGACACACCCCTATCCTGTTCCCTTGCCCAACACCTGTCATGTGACCTCTTCTTACCTTTGGTCCAGGAACGCCTTGGAGCCCCTGCATTTGGAATCAAAACAAGGTGCCTCAGAACTGCATTTCTGGTTAAGTTAAAAAAACGTTGTGCACAAGTTGGACAATAAGAGCAAGGGCTTGGGGCGCAACACTTGGGCTGGGGTCCTTGTCCAGGGGAGGTAGAAGGGAATGCTAAGGGGGATATTGCTTGGGGCTCCCCAGGATGGGGTCTGAGCCAAGCTTTCCCAGCCATGGACTGACAGAGAGTCTTTCTATGCTCCCCTCAATTGACCCAGAGTCTCAGGAAGATTCAGAGGGAATACAGCAAAAGTTGAATAAATTAATATATGCAAAGTGCTTAGAGCAGTGTCCGGCCCATAGTAAGTTTCGATAAATGCTGGCTATTACCATTATTACTACAACTACTACTTTTATGAATGACAGTGGGTGACACAGTGCCATGGGGACTATGGACCTTGCTGAGACAAGGAACAACAGCTGTTGCTTTAGGATGCTTGGGGAGCCCCTCTAGATGCAATGCCAAGGGGACTGTTTAAAGGCCTCCTCTTATCATCTGTGACCATGGAAAGGCCAATCCAGTGTGGCCGGTTTTAAATGGATCACTTTCTACTTTGATCCTGGTCTTCTTGCTGGTTGGTTAGCAGGAAGGAGGAAGGGGAAGGAGCAGGTGTCTGATGGCTTAGTGACAGAGCAACTCCTATAGGGTGGTTGATCCAGACCCCAGGGCTGCCAGTCAGCTGTTTCCATGATGTTACTGCGATGGTGCCTGTTTAACGTGGGAGGGCCAAGGAGTAGGGAGGGGTTTGTCGATGAGACAGGTCACCCTGGGAAGAGGAGGAGATGGGGACCTGAGGCTGAGATTGAGCCCAGTGACTAGCATGGGGAGGGGACGTTATTGCAGTGACCACAATTCTGATAAACCCTCTAAACTTACTGGAGGTCCAGGAGGCCCCTCTGGTCCTGGTGGCCCAGGAACCTGGAAGCCAAAGGGAGATTGTTAGTCCACCCATTACACTGTCAGTGGTCCTTCCTTTTGACATGGCCCGGAGTCCAGCTGGGGACTACAAAGCCAGGGGACAGAACTGCCCAGCACAGTCTCCCAAAAGAAGGCTTAGAACAGGTCAGAAATGCATAGCAACTCATTAGCGTGCACAATGTTGAGAAAACACATTGCCAGGAAATGTCCTCACAACATCTATTTTTCCTGATTTTCTTGAAAAACCAGAAAATCTGGCCATGCTAGGTTCTTGCTCTTGCACAGCAACAACTGCCTGGAGCTGCAAAAAGCCTCCCCTCCAGGTGGGGCATGACACCTTCAGTTTGCCCCACTCCCACCGTGGTCTCTAACCTGGACCTTGTGTGACTTTGATGCATGCCTGGCTCTTTTGAGCACTGAATTCAAGACCTTTGGCTTAGAGGAGCAGAGATGGGTTATCTGGAATGGGGGGAGGTGGACATGTTTTGGAAGAATATTCCTAAAGGGCCCCAGGTTTGTAACAGAGACTACTGGTCTCCCTTTTCCTAGAGAGTGGGCTGAAGTAGAAAAGGTGTAGACTGGACAGGGGAGATGGGGAGCCCCAGGGTGTTTGATCTCTCTCTGAAGGATGGCATTCACTGCAGACTCCATCTCTGATGGCAGTGGACATCCATTTGTCCACAGGCAGCCACCCCAGAGGCAGGAAGGAGACCTGACTGCTCTTTCTCAGCTGGTCACTGTATTTTGGCTTTGGGGTTCTTGCCTTCCTGGGAGCAGAATTCTCTGGAATTTGGCCAGAGTGGGGACCCCTCTGTCAGGCCACCATAGAGGGAGCCCCTGTACGGGGCAGGCAGGGCACCTCTGAAGTCTCTTGGACCTGTTGACTATTTAGCTCTGTAATACTATAGACTCCTTGTCGGGACCTCAATCTTGAGAAACTCTATTTTCTTAAAAAAAAAAAGATGACTGCTTTTTTTCTTAGTATAAGTCAATAGTTTCCTGATTGTGGTAGTGCTTATGCAAATCTGGGCATGTATTACATTGCACAGAACGATACACATTCTCACAAAAGTCAATTTTACTGTATGATACTTTAAAAAATCAAAAAAGTAAAGTAATACAAAATGTTAAAATATTTTGTAAATTAAAGAAAATTTAAAGAAGGAGGAAGGATAAGTATCTCTGAGTATTGTTAGTACTTTTTTCCTTCCATTCTTCCTCTATGCATAAAATGTGTTTGAATATATGTCCATACTTACGATGATATTATATATATGATTTGATTCTCTGCTCTTTTTCACTTAACATGAAACCCATTTTCCCATTGTTTGATATGTTCCCCACAAGCCTCCTTTTAATGTCAATGTGCTGGTCACTGCATGGAATGGAAATGAGTTACTACCTAGCCACGGCTTGGAGCAATGCTTGGCACAGGTATGCTCTCCAACACGGGGACCATTATTACCATCGGTATTATTACCATAAGTTATTTAATCATTTCCTTCTTGTTAGAAATGTAGGTTGTTTCCAATTTGTACTTGAAATACTTCTGGAGGGAACATTTTTGGGTATAATGCTTCTCCTGAATTTTGCAGCATTTCTTCAGAAGGTTATCCACCTCTAAAGAAGTAACATGTATTATGTAATCAGGGCTATTTCGCTAAATGCAGGTGGGACTTGGTGACACTGAGGATGACAGGGACCAGGGGACCTCTCCTGAGACTGAAAAGGCTGGGTGTCTCTTCCTTAGCTCTGTGGTGGTGTCTGGGTGGCAGAGGTCTACCCCCCGAGACGTGCTCTCTGTCACGGAGCCTTGAGTTCCATTACTTTCCTGGCTCTTTCCCCTGAGCCTACAGATATGCCGAATTCACATCTTATGAGAACCTGGCCTCCATGCTGACTACCTCTCGCTTACTGTTCTTTCCCCTTCCCTTCACCATCGCACCTCTTGGAGGATGACGCCTCTCTCTGGAAAACCTACCTCTGGAGCTTCTAGGCAAATGCCTACCAAGTCTTCGAGAGCCTCTCCAACGACCTGTCTTCTGGGATGCTTACTCGCCTCCCTGAGCTGCTGCCGCTCTGCCTGCTGTCTACTGGGGACTGCTGGCTGCATGGGATGGCTCTGCTGATCTTCCTATTCCCGGATTCCAGCACCAGGAATGAAGCATGGCAGGTGGTCTGTGGATGCCCTTGGGGGACTTGATTAATGGGGAGTCCACGCAGCAGGAGTGAGGCTCTGAGGCTGACCCCCTGTGGTGCTCAGTGATCATTCAGCTCTGGGCCCTCCCCCTGTCAGGCAGCTGTGAGTGTCATTCTAGAAAGGGAACGCTGTGTGTCCTGGAGAGACTGTGGTGTGATGGGGTCCCTGTCAAACAACCTCCAGGACACAAAAGGCAGAGCAGGTACAACCTACCTCCACTCCTGGGTCACCCTTCTTGCCAGGTTCTCCTTTCTCTCCCTATGGGCACAAAACACCACAGTGTGAACGCCAGCATTCAGGTCTGGCATAGACACACAGACTGGGAGAAAGCAGACCGGGACCAGACGGGGCCGAGTGTTGTCAAGGAACACTTCAGAGGCTGTGGAGGCAGTCAGCCTGAAGGTCAAAGCCTGGGGCTGGGGGCCTGTGACAAGAAGCTGAGGTTCCAGCATGCGTGAGGAGAGGCTGATATTCTGTATGCATCCTGCAGTGCACAGACTCTAGGGTGGCCCTGTGACCTGTTTCTAACCAAGAGAAGATGGAATATGGCAAAGGTGATAGGCTATCACTCCTGTGATTATGTTACAAATCATAACTTACATATCTTGTACAAATGCTAACATATAACATAAGATTATGTTACACACACCACACACACACACACACACACACACACACACACACACACACACACACACACACACAGCTCTGTCTTGCCAGCACACACTGAGAGGCTCCTGCTGGCCTTGGCCTTAAAGAAGCAAGCTGCTATAAAGTGAACTGCCTACCATGGGGAAGGCCACATGGCAGGGGACCAACCAGGTGGCCTTTAGGAGCTGAGAGACTCAGTCCTACTATAGCAAGGAGCTGATTTATGCCAGCAGCAGTGAGCTTGGAAAAGGATCCCAGCTCCAGATGAGAATGCCGCTGTCTGGATGAGGACCCAGCATGCCTGGACTCCTGACCCACAGAAACTGGGAGATAAGTGTGCATTATTTCAAGCCACAAAATTTGAGGAGATTTGTTATGCAACAACAGAAAAGAAATATGGCTACAGACAGAGTGAGGGCTGGTGGGTGGAGGTTGGTGAGGAAGCTTCCACACCACCTCCAGGGCACTCCCTCCAGCCTGGAGCTGCCCCATAATGGAGGGGACACGTCAGGAGGTTGTGAGCTGCCTGCCTGGCCCAGCTGAGCAAGGCAGCCACGGTTGGTCAGTAGCTTCTGAGGATTCCTACACCGGGTCAGAGCTGGGACTGGCTGGCCTCTGAAGTTCTTTACACTTCTAAGAGAACTCTAGCAAGATTCTAGCACCTTCGAACCAGGTTGGTGCCTGAAAACAAAGGCCATCACTCTATGAGCTAGCTAAGCTGGAGCTCATGTTTACACTAAATGCCCCTCAGGGAGTAACTGATTTCTCCTGAGGCTGGGTAGGCAGTGGGGGGATATGCAGCCTTGTGGCAGTGCCAGACACCTGCCAGGCTGGTGACTACAGCCCGCTCATTGCTCTCATCCACAGCTGCCGGCCAATAACCTTGATATGTGGCACCCCCGCCTTACTGTAAATCCTGGGAGCCCGATGGGGCCAGGCAATCCTGTCATTCCTGGTCTCCCTTGGCCACCTGGTTCTCCTTTCTCCCCAGTTGGACCGTCTAAACCCTACAGATAGGAAAAGATCTCTGTTAGTCAAGAGCAAGATTGTCACGCTCCGTGACCAACTATGACATGAATGCATGAATCTCTTCCTCCAAGGGCAGGTGTTTAGAATGGTACCCATTTCACAGTTGGAAACAACCAAGGCCCTGAGGAGTCTCCCAAATCATCTCAACAGACTAGTTGGACTGGGGTCAGGTCCCTTTTACATACATGCAAACTCTCCTGGGCCTAGGATTTCTGTATGCTTTCCAAAGAGGCAGATTTAGAGCCATGACTTCATCTCCTTCCCAACAACCCAGAGGTACCTGGGGAAGGCATTATTACCCTCATTGTGGGCACAAGGAGCAGGAGGCCGTGCAAGGCTCAGTGATTCTCCCAGGGACACAGACAGGAGATGGCAGACAGGACCTGGGCCTCTCGAGGTGGGAAACTGGCCTTCACAAAGTAAGTGGCTAAAGGGGAAACCCAGGTAGATGCCCTGCCCCCAACCCCCAGTTCCAGGCTTCCAGCCTAGGCCCCAGCAGGCACTGTGAGGAGGCCATGGGGGGGGCGGTCAGCTGCCAGCTGGCTCTGGCACTCACCGGCGGGCCTGCCTGCCCTGCCTCGCCTTTCTCTCCCTTCTCTCCTGGGCTCCCCATGTGTCCGTCTTCTCCCTTCATTCCTGCAGGCCCCATCTTTCCTGGGGGGCCTTGGGGACCAGGAGGGCCCACGTCTCCTGGTTTGCCTCGAGGTCCCTTTAGAAAATATCAGCAACACTTATTAGATACGCTAATGGAGAGAAGAGAGAGAGAGAGATCACCAAAGAATGGGAGATCCAAAGGATTTCGCTCAGGGTGCTTGACTGGACCAGGCAGAGCCCATCCCAGTCCCTGCGGGGATCTGAGGGGCTCAGGCACCAGCCCAGCTCACCCCACTGGGTGTCTGCATAGCTCCTCGGGTGCCAGCAATGGGGAGCTTAGCTGGACTTTTGCAGGGTCAGCCTCCCCCTCCCCTCTCCCTTCCCCACGAGGCTCACCCCTGGGCCTCTTTCAGAGTCTTCTGCCCCCTCCCCACCAGAGCATGGACCACATTTAGAGGTTTGTCCAGGGGCATCTGTTCTTACCTTTTCCCCATCGAGTCCTGGAGGGCCTGGCAGTCCAATCTCCCCCTGCAGCCAGAACAACTAAAGGTCACTCAACACAGAAGAGCAGTTACTGTCCCTCATGCAGCACATCCCATGAACCAGGCATACTTTTCTCCACTCTCCCAGTAGGTGTGTGCTTGTCCTGTCTCTGTTCTACAGTGGGGGGTACCCATGGCCCCAGCTAATGAAGAGCGGAGACAGATCCTAGGCTGGGCCTTTGGGCTTCACAGTCCATGTTTTAGCCACAACCTCTCATGCTGCCTCTGAGGGCCCTGGGGGCTGCCCCTTGGCTCCGTGGGAGGGGTGCTGGCCTCCTGTCCTCCCCAGACCCAGCCCTCCCCGCATCTTTACCTGCACTCAAGCCCCTTTTACAGATCAGGGAGGGAGATGAAGGGGGCAGAGCCAGTGCAGTGCCAGGGCAAAATGATGCGGAGAGAGGGACAGAGAGGAGAGGACAGTGCGTTCTGCCTGACTGACCAGGGGAGGCTTCAAGAGGGGGTGGCTTCCGAGTTGGGCTTGAAAGATGAGGACTTTGAAAGGTAGGGAAGAAGGTGAGAAATTTCAGGGCAGGGACCCTCTTGAGCAGAGGACACAGCAGCCAACCTGCGGGACCTTCTGAGAAAAATCTGAGGGATGGGGTCAGGGAGCGAGGGAGGGGTTCACGTGCCACAGTCCCTGACGTGGGTTAGGGTCCCTGCTGTGGCTCTGGTTGGGCAGGACTCATCTAGACTCAGGCTCCGCCACAACCAGAGAGGCCTTGAGTTACAGGAGCCCAAGACACACAGCAAGGGGAGAACGGCAGAGCCAGCCGGGAGGAGGGAGAGTGCCTGTGCCATGGGCAGGTGGGGCCCAGTGCCCTGGAGCATCAGCAGGATTACAGGTCAGAGGACAGTGGCCGCTCTGGGAGAGGAGAGGGTCATAGGACACGGGGAGCCCTGGGGTCCTGCACTCGGGGACACACAGTGCCTCTGCGGTGTCCGCATCCCCATTGTCAAGACAAGTGTTACCTTTTGACCTGGGATCCCTGGAGCTCCAGGTGGGCCGATTTGGCCAGGAAGACCAGGTGGCCCCTAGGAAAGAAAAGAAAGATGTGTTAAGAGTATTCCAACCAAGGAAGGGTGGCCTGTTGCCAGAGGGGTGTATGTGTAGGCTGGTTTATAGACATAAGTCATTTTCAGACATTTCAAACATTTTCAAAAGTATTCAAAAGAACACTTCTCTTGCAAAGGAAATAACAAGGGGACCCCACAATGTGAAGCACATAAGCACTGCTGAGTGTGTCTGGGTTAAAGTGGGGGTGGGGTGGGCATTCTAGAGACATGCCTGACAACCTGTAGTTCTTCTTCCTTCTAGGGCACCCTTGGGGGCTCCTGCATTCCAAGAAGACAAACCTGTCCTGCCCTGACAGTGACTTAAAAATGTTTCCAGGAAACAATGTCAATGCCCATCAACAGGTGAAGGCCTGGTATATCCATCCAATGGACTACTACTCAGCAGTGAAAAGAGAACCAAGCCCTGTTGCCTGCCATACAGCAGATGAAACCCAGACACATTATGCTGAGCAGAAGCCAGACCCAGATGGCTACATACCGTGTGATTCCATTCATATGACATTCTAGAAGAGACACATCTAATCTATGGTGACAGAAAGCAGATCAGTGGTGGCCCAGGGGCTGGGGGTAGTTGTGAGATTGACTCCTAAGGCACATGAAGGAACTTTCTAGAGTGGATACATGGGTGTATACATTTATCAAAACTCATCAAACTCTACACCTAAAATGGGTACATTTTATTGTATATAAATTATACTTCAAGGTTGATTAAAAGAAGAAAAAGTTTTTCCAGGAAAGTTTGCTTCCAATAGCTATTACTAATAATATATTTTAGTGTACCCAAATGAAGCTCCTTGATTCCAGGACCATGTGGTGTTAATACCAATTTCTGGGGTTGGTGATTTGATTGGTGTTTGACTCTGGGTTTCTGATGATTCACACATCCCTCAGTGTGTTCTGTGGCAGATGGCCACTTAAAATGTTATGTGAAATGAAATTCACTTTTGAGTAGTTTGAGAACTTCAGGATCTTCCTTTTTCTCTGCCTGGAAGTTAAACCTCATAGCAATCGTTTTAACTACAAATATTCACTGAAGGCCTGTCACTGGTAGGCATGCATGTAAAATCTGGGCTTGGAATTCACTGGTGCTCCAAGTGTAGATAACGAAACAGATTTCTAGGAAAGGGGGAAATGTGGAGGGTCACTACTGAGTTTTTAGGGTTCTGGATTTTATTAGCCAAGAAAAAGAAGAAATATGAAAGCATCCTCCTCTATGCCTCTATTTCTTTAACACAGCTGTAATGACAGCCCAGCATTTATACTGTGACAAGAGTGCAGACCAGCATTGGTGAAGGGCCACTCCAGCCACTCCTTAGCGCCCCTGCCCAGGCTTGGGTCACCCTCCGCCCCAACACTGCAGGGTCACCCCAGCCCAAAAGTCCTAAGTCTGCGTTCTGGACGTGAGACCTCAATCCTCGCTTCCAGGCTGTGCTTCCCGAGCCCCCAGCCTGCTGTCTGAAGAACGGGAGGGAGGAAGACTTACCATCAAGGCCAGCGTCCGGATCTCCTAGAAAACCAACACCATGTGATCAGTTGATGGTAAGTCAAGAGCTCTCTGGAGGGTCCCCTTGGCCCGGTCACAGACACCTGGGTGGTGGGCTCTTGAAGGAGCTGTGTAGCAGCAGTCCCTCTCGGGTGGCTCTGTGTCTCCCATCCCCACACATTCCCACCCCTCCCAGAGGTTTGTAATCACTGGACAGAGAATACATCTCCCTAAATGCTGCTCTAAGGCTGTCCTACATCAGACAAGCACTAAAGTGGACTGCAATCTCCCTTCACTGTGACAAAGAGGGAGGAAGCAGCATCTCTTATTCTTTCTAATCGCTGACTGAGAACTTTTCTTTTGCTCTTTCCTCTTCTCCCAGAACCCAGATTTCAAGGCTCTGATGTACCTCCTTTTAAAAACAAACTCAGTATAGCAAAATATGGAACTATTCAAAACATAAATCAAAGGGACAACTGTTGGCATTAAAAAAGAATTGTACACCTTATAAATGGATTCACACAGGCACAAAGATTCCTTTAAAGGAGTGGTTCTCAGCCTGGGGCAACTTTGCCCCCCAGGGGACTTTGGTCATGTCTGGAGACCTATTTTGGTCATCATAGCTTGAGGGGAGGGGTTGCTATTGGCATCCAGTGGGCAAAATCCAGGGAGGGATGCGGCTGAATATCCTACAGTTCATGGGACAGCCCTCCCCCACAAGCCCTCAACAAAGATTGTACAGCCCTTAATGTCAACAGTGCTGGGAAACCACTTTAAAGGGTGGGTACTACATGAACTTGAAATATTTAAGTTGACGCAAAAGGGAGATGTGTTCCAGGAAGGAAGATTCTGCTGTGTGAAAGGGGAGCGTGTGTATGAGGATGTGAGGCCCCAGGACCCTAAAGGAGCCAGCACCCTGCAGCGTGCCAGGATGCTCCAAGTATGGCTCTCAGTTACCCAGAGCCAGGATAACCTGCCGGCTGGGCCCCGGCGCACGGACAGGCAACCTGGATGCCAAACGAGGGTGGGCATTTGCCTGGAGGCTGCATGGTGGGAGGCCAGAGGAGACCCCTGGAAGCTCCGCCCAGCAGCCTGGCCTGGGAGACACGAATCGGGGTGTTGAAGCGCTCCCGCATCAGGGCCTTGGTGAAGAGCCAGGAGACCCCTGAGCACCTCTAGATCTTGACTCCCTGGGTTAGCCCTCACTCACCTGGAGAGCCTCACTGATGTTTCCATTGTAATCCACCATCTCACCTTTCCCTGGTTCTCCCTTGGAGCCCTGCAGGACAAATGAGATCTCAACCCAGGGCCTGGGCCAGCAGGGATCTGAGGACAGCTGCTGCCTGCTCTCTATCCAAGGGGACTGTACCCCAGGCTGGCTGGGCCGGCTCCACACAGGTGGGTCCAGGGCAGCTGCAGGGGGTGCCTATCAAGGGGCTCCAAACACTCAGAGAATGCCCAGTGGTTCTAGAACAAATGGAGACGACTCCATGTGAGAACTCTGGGCCAGACAGACCTCTAAAAGACTGAGCTCAATCCTGGCCACAGTGTCAGACGTCCAATCCGGAGCCAGGATGCTCTTCCCCTCCGTCCCCCTCAAGACCCCAGGGACAAGAGACCTCATGCTGTGCCCCAGGGAGGTTAGATGTCCTGCTGGGACTCTGGATGAGACATGCATGTACCTTGGGGCCAGCTGGTCCCTGTCCTCCAGCTGCTCCAGGCTCCCCCTGTTGCATGACAAAATTGGGGTGGAATAGGGATAAAGCTGTGTGTGAGAGAACCTGATGCTCCCAGATGGGCCATGCCTCAGGGGCCAGGAGGCTCATCTTAACCCAGCCGAAGAGGATGCAGACTTCCCGGTGCAGTGAAGTATGGGCTCCACCCTTTCAGGAGGCATCCCACCGCCAGGCCCTGCTCTCTCTCCAGCTCCTCTGGGCTCCTCCCACTTCACACTTAAAGATACTCTTTCTGCCCTGCATGAGCTGTTAGTGACTCCACCTGTGCCTGTCTGGTGACCTCTCCCAGGACCCTAAGTGAGCCACCCCCTGGGGACTAGGCCTTTTGCTTCTTTGTACAGTTGGTCCTGGATCAATGTGGTGTGATCTGTATGGGTCCACTTAGCAGACTTTCTTCAGTGAATGTGTGGGAAACATGTTCTGGGAAAAATTTGTAACAATTTGAAGAACATTTTCTTTGCTCTAGCTTCCTTTGTTTTAAGAATACAGCATATAATACATGTAACATATAAAATACATGTTAATCAACTGTGTTATCTGTAAAGCTTCCAGTCAACAATAGGCTATTATTGGTAGTTCACTTTTTGGAAAGTCAAAAGTTATATGTGGAATTTTTGACTGTGTGTGTGTGGGTTGGGGAGGGGTTGGCACCCCCTAAGTACTGTGTTGTTCAAGTGTCAACTGTATTTCCATCCTGCTCAAGTAGGAAGGGCTCAGCTTTTTGCCAGTTGCCTGGGTGGTCAATAATTGCCATGGAGAGCCTCGTGGCTTTTTCCAGGCTTCTCTACTTGTAAAAGGTCCAAACTGCAGGATGAAATATGCGGGCAGGTGGTGTAAGGCACTAGGAACCCCTGACCTCCTGGAGGACGTAGGCGGAGGGATTTGTTCTTGTTGGAAATAAGAAAGAGCCATGGGGAATAAAGGAAAGAGGAGTGTAAACAATGAAAAACAAACCACAGCTCCAATTGTTCTGGGATAATGTTAATGTTAAAGACATTAAAAAAAAATCAAGATAGAATAGAAAGTAAAAATAAAGGGAAAACAAGCCTTTTAATATAACTCAACTCCTGATGACTCTGCAGTTGGCCAGCTTACTGAGTGTGGATGAGCCACCCAGGTGAGCTGCCCTCTGTCTACCTCCTGCCCCCAAGGCATTTTGGTCACTGGCACTGGTGTGGACACAGCAGCACCACCTGTTCTGTAGGACATAGCTGGACAGAAGTGGGAGCCCCACCTCCAGCTGTGTGGAAGCTAACAGAAGCAGGGCTCCAGCTCACTCCTCAGCCCGAGCGTCTTGTCCTGGGACCAGCCTGTGCATGACTGCTGCCATAGAGGAAGGTTCTCCCAAGCCGCCAGGAGACATGGCAGCCAGGAGTCATGGCCCATCAGCCTTGTGCCCTGGGGGTGCTCGTGACTCTGAGCTGGGGCTTGAACTCCCAAGCTGACCCTAATGCAGCTGCTCTTAGATCTGGGGGCTTCTGTACCTTGTCTCCTTGCTGTCCCGGGGAGCCACCAGGGCCACCTACACCAGCTTCTCCCTGGAGTAGAGAAGAGATGGGATGAAGGCATGCAGGGAAGCTCAGACAGCTGCTTACAGTGGTAAGGGATGGTCTTGCTGTTGAGGTTCTGGGTATTAAGTGTCTTTGGGTTTCCATCTTTTTCTCTGCTGGCTTCTAACTCACCCCCATTTCACCTACCTGAATCCCATCCACCCTTGGGTTCAGTCCAGGTCTCACCTCCTCCCGGCAGCCCTGCTTGTCTACTCCCTTCCTTCTCTGAGTTCTGTACTACAGACTGGTGTCCACCCCACACTGCCAGGCCCTGCTCAGTTCTTGATTAACACACACGTGCCAGGTTCTGCTGCAGCCTCCACCCATGCCTGGCCTGCCTGGGAGACAGGGGGAGTGTGAAGGCCCTGGGCATGTAGGAAGGGAGCCCTAGGAGGCCTAGGTTGGGAGGTGCAGAGAGAGCTAGAAAGAGGCCCCCTCCAAATACTTTCTATTTGATATTTCACCTGGACCTGGAGAGAGGATGTAAGTTTGGGAACAGTATTCTAGCTTTCCTTTCCTCCTATTCCAGAATGCAGAGGCAATAGTGACCAGTTTTCCCCTGTCCCAAATAAAGACCCAAGATGTGCCAGGTGTCCATCCATGCCCTGTGGGGTCAGTGGGACAGACTCCAACACTGGGGATGTCCCAGAGCCTGGGTGGCAGTGCCACCTTTGGCAAAGCTGGTGCTCCTGCCAGGCAGGCCCTATTCCCATCACGGTCAGACAGCAATGTATGGGACAGCCTGAGACCCTTGCTGCCACTTCATCTTGCCTGTTTATGTGGTTTCTTGGGCTGCCTACACGTATCCCTGTGAACTGTGGGTTTGTTTCTCCTGCTAGATTGTGAGCAAGCCAAGGGCAGGTTCTCTGTAGCTTCACAGCCTATAGCAGTCCCTGGACAAAGGTCAATGTAATGAATGTGTGTATTGCCTCAAATCATGTAGAGCAATGAAGCCTTTCCTTATAAGCTAAGGAAGAGACCCCCCTCTTTTCCCTAGGTTGGTATAACAAACCACGCAACACAGGAGGTGTCTGCTTGGGAAACCCAGCTCTCACCCCTGCAGTTCCCACCCAGTGCAAGGGAAGTGGGGGCAGCCCCATTGGCATCTGCTCCTCTGCGGCTACTGTCCCCGCCTAAGTGTACCAGGTGGGGCCCAGCCGATCACTGAGAATTCAGAGCCTGGGCAAAGGGCTTTCTGGCTGTCCCTGACTCAGTTACATCATAGACATTTGAATCAGTGGGGCTGCCCATCAGCCCTGGGTGGGGGGACATGTCTTCTGGATGGTCAGTCACTGCTTAGAAGCTGGAGAATTCACTGGAAAAACCACACAACTGGAGAGAAGGGAAGGTGTACAGGATAGACAGTCCCCAAGAACGGGTTGAGGATAAAGGCTATGGCAAGCATCTCCCCAGAGCACTGATCCCAGGGGAAGACTCACCTTTGGCCCTGGAGGCCCAGGGAGCCCTGGGGGGCCGGGCTCCCCTCTGCTTCCTCCAATGGAGTTGCCAGTGTCTCCTTTCTCTCCCTGGGGGTGGAAGGCAGAAAAACCATCACTGGGGCCACCTTGCCCTGGAGGGAGGTGCTCGATCCCTGTCTTTTCTGTCCTCTACAGGTCAAAGCCAAGGGAAAAGCAGACCACCCCTCAGTCTAGGCTGAACATGGTTGGGGGGACATTAAGGGTCCTGTGGCTCCAGGATGGCTGGGGAGCAGAGGCATTCAGAAGCCTGGCCTGGACTGATCTGGCCCTGGGATCTTGAGGAGAAAATGGAGCCAGTTATGAAAGAGAACATGTGTAGAGCTGAAACAAGAGACCCATCAGGATCTGAGTCTAGAGCGGTATTTCTCAAAGTGTGTTCCCTGGAAGCCTGGGCTAGGAATACTTGCAATGTGAAAAGAGGGTCTGGCAGCCAAATGCTGTTAGGAAAGGCAGAATGGGGTGAGGCTTTACCCTTCACTGCAGGGTGCTTGGGTGCCCTGTGACATTCAAGGGGCTGTCCAAGGGCAGCTCTCCCCAAACTTATTTGACCTCAAGTCTTTTTTTTAAAATGAGATACCTTATGGAGCTTGTGTGCTGTGGAGTACAGAGTACAGAGTTGGTGCAAATAAATTGCATGATGTTATAGCTATTGGTCTTTGAATCTGGGCATTTTTTGGCCAATTAGGGCTTCCCATGTAAAACCCCCCTCACCAGACAGAATCTGCCTGTGTTCCATCCTGCTGCTTTCTCCAGACAGGAGGGACACCTTGAATGCTGGCCCACATGAATGCACAGGGCTGGGAGTGTAGGTGGGGATGGATACCAGGCCTCGACACAGAACCCATCATGCAGAGCTAATTGATACCCACCTTCTGTCCCAGGAGGCCGAGTAGCCCAGGGGAGCCTGCAGCCCCCTTTTCACCCTGCAGAGGAAATGCAGACAGTGTAGGCTTGAGTTGTTTCTCCAGGATGTCTGCAAGGGCACCAGCCCCACCAGCGTGGGGTCCTGGCTTTCCTCTCTTCTGCTGCCCTGCCCCTCCGTGGGCTGTTTTCTGAAGGACTCCACTTTCTGCTGGACCCCTAACCAGGCCTGACACCTTCTTTGGCCATTTCACACTGGTGATAGCGTCTGCATCATTGTTCTCCCATGTGGGCTAGCCCTAATCACTCACACAGGGGGGAGGAACGACCCTGCTAGCTCATAACCAAGGCCAAGAGCATGTAGCGCCTTTTGGAGGCCCCTGGGGGCGAGACCAGCAGTTCAGGGCCAGCTGTTGGGGAAGCACTCCCTTTTAAATGCTGTGCTCTCTGTAATGCTCATAATGTCTAGCAATTAGAGGTCCCAGTATCTAGGGAGAGAGCTCTCTGACGCCTCCTCCCTGCCTCTAGGGAAGGCAGAAACCATCTAACCACAGCTTCTCCTTTGGAGGAATACTTTGAGAAGTTTGCCTCCTGTTATGGGTTAAATTGTATCCCCTGAAGTTCGTATGTTGAAGTCCTAATTCCCAGTGTCTCAGAATGTGATCTGAGTTGGAAATAGTTGCAGAGGAAACGAGTTAAGATGAGGTCATGATGGAGTAGGGTGGGCCCCTGACCCACTGACCCACTGACCCACTGACCGGCATCTCCATGGAAAGGGGAGAGAGACGTGGGGTAGACACGCCTGGGGGAGAGCAGCATGTGAAGGTGAAGGCAGAGACTGGGGTGGGGCTTCTGCAAGCCAAGGACCCCCAGGCTGTCTGCAAACCACCAGATACCAGGACAGAGGCCTGGGACAGACTGTCCTTCACAACCGCAGCAGGACCCAACTTGCCAACACCTTCGTCTCAGACTCCTGTACTCCAGAACCATGGGACGACCTGCTTCTGTTGTTCAGGGCAGCCCTGGCAAGCTAATGCCCCTCCGTAACCAGCCTCTTCCACTTCTGTGGAGCTCTCTTTCCCCTGACATGGAGCACAGGCTCCACCCGCACAGTGCAGATGAAGAGGCTAGGTGGCCGTAGATGACCCACTGCTACCCCCCGCAGTAGCGGCAGGACCAGGTCTAGCAGCCAGGTCTCCTGTCACTCTGCCTTCTACACCACAAAGGCTTCTCTTTGGGTTCACAGACTGTCCCGTATCAGAAGAGCCCCCAAGAGCACCTGTCAGGTCCGCATGAGAAGCTCGCCTCTCCAAAGGCTGATGGCCGGATGCTCATGTATGTAGTGATATAAACTGAGTGCCCTGGGGTCATAATTTGCTTAGCTGTCCCAATGAATTTTCCAGCTGGAGTCACAAAAGATGCCCCACCAAGTCTTTGGGTGTCATTCCCTTGTCACCTTCCCTCGAGTAGAAGATCAAAGACAAAATGGTCTGAAACTGGCCACAGGAGGGGAGAAGGCTGGGTAAGGGCCCAGATGAAGGGAGGGAAGTGAGTCTGGGGGCCCGGGCAGGCCCTGCTTTCCCAATGGACACTCAGGAGAAAGGCCCCTGCTCTCCTATCTGAAGCTTTGCAAACATGTAGCTGCTGAATTCTGGAGTAAAGGTCCAAAGGGAAAGGATGTGGTTCTGTCCTGCAGAGGTCCAGGGGGTGGGGACTGTGGTCTTCCTTCCTTAGTAACCAATAGCTTTCAAGGAGGGAGGGCATAC